GCCATGTGACATATCGAATTCCTCAGGAGTACTTTCGCGTAAGACTCGTGCACGTTCTGGGACCGGTTTTTGGCGGATTTTGTCAAGAAGGCCCGTTGCCAAAGACAGTTTGACAACCTTCGATTTGCCTTTCATCCTAGCGGTGACTAAGATGAGCCTGTCTTCACGTTTGGCATCCTCGAGTAGCTTTTTCTGCACTTCTTTCTGATATTGTTTTCCAGGTACACTCTTTGGCTGCAGCGATTGCGATTCGTCCTTTTTCTGTTTCTTGGCTTTTGTCTTCTTCCGTCGACGATCCTCTACACCGTCGTGTCCATCGCGGGTGCGTTTTTGACCAAGGCGCGGGATCTCACCATCCATGCTAGGTTCGGGGTAGTGCAAGTCTCCGTTGGCATCGTGGATTTGAGATGTGCTGGCAAGGCCACTGTCGTTATCCTCAACGGGGGAGTAGGTGATTCCGTATCTTGTATTAGCACGTTCGTCTTCATCAATGAACCGCGCATCGAGTGAAGGATCTATCAACTTGTCCATCTCGGCTTGCTGCATTCGGCGTTGCATCGCGTTCTGGGCTATGCCATCCTCTTCTCGTAACCAGTTGAGATTGGAGACGCTGAAATCGACAAGGCATTCTACTGAGCGTACATCGGCCACCTTCTTGGTATCGTGACCGAGCAGAGTTCCCTTTGGTTCATAGGGGTGCTGCCTGGGATCGCGCCGGCAAGCGCCCGTGTTACAGACCCTCAAGCAATGTGGGCATTTCCAGTTGTGGGCCTCCATGACTCCTACTGGCATCATATCGTGTGCACGGAATAGCGTTCCGTAGCAATACGCCAGATCACAGCTGGAGCAAAATGCCATTTTCCACTTTGGATGTCGATGAAGGCAGAAATGGCACGATTTGTGTTTTGCCAGCCATTGTTTTGACTTTCTGTTCGTGACCTTTTTGACATTGCCGTATTCGTCCATAACAGGTTCCTCGTCATCGGAAACACTTTCTGGCTGTGGGTTGTTAATGTCGACAAATGGACGGATCCGCAATTGCTCCTGGCAGACCTGGGCGAGGGTCTTCTTGCCGAGATACCTTCGTTCTTCTTGCAGTGGGAGTGGCGTCTTTTCGTTCACATGGCCATCGATGTTGATGATTTGAGCCCGCCATTCTTCGTACTTGTGAATGAGGTCCTTCCATTTCCACTGCTCAACCCATGTGTAGCCCGATTGGCAACCACAGCTTCGGCCCATGCAGTAACAATCCATGCAAACATCATATGGCTCCTCAATCTCAGAACTGAACATGTTCTTGCAAGACTTGCAGCTCAAAAAGCGGTTGAAAATATTGCACCTGCAATACGAACATGTGACATTACTGTCGTATGCTAGGAACTCGGCGTGTTCCCGTGAGTCAGGCGCAAACATTTCTGAGAGGAGGATTTTCTTGTACATATCAAAGAGTCGTTTGAAATCCTTCTGAATTTGCTTTACCTTGCTGGAGCGGCGAATCGCTTCAGCTTGCTCGCCGCCTGCCTGGATCTGGGCGCCAGCAATTTTGATCAGGTTTGAATACTTGAGAAGGGTGTAGTATACGATGGCCTTGTTTTTGTATTGTTCATCACGGCAGACGATACGCGAGTTGGGTAGCGCCTCGCTCAGAGCCAGTTCTAGAGTCTCGACAGTTGTGCGATTCCAAGCAATTTTCATGGTACGAGTGCCACGGTTCCAGACTTGATGAGGCGCCAGTGGCGGGATCAGGATAAAATCTCCAGGACGCTGCTCTACAACATAAGTCCGAAATGGAGCCTTCTTCCACGCGATGAGCTGTGCAAAATGGTTCTCAACCTCAATATCGTGGCCCAGTATTGACAGCCAATATTCTGAGACAACATGGCGGTCTTTGCTTTCTGTCATGAACCAGATGGATGAACCGGGACGCTCTTGCTTGCCGTCTTCGCCAATGTTGGTGGAAGCATTCACCATGATATTCTGGCCGAGTGATGCACACATCTCCCGATGTGAAGGTGTATAAGTGCCTTCATGCCCAATATAACACATGAGATTCTCTGCGCGCATTTCAGGAGGCAGACTGCTCATGAGGTCTCCGGCTCTTCCAATGCCACGACCTTTGCGCACCCCAAACTCATCCGGTGCGCCAGGCCCGTTTGCATCGCCCGTGCTCTCGTTCAGGTAGAACAATCCAGTAGGAATATGCTCTTTGAGTTTGTCGTGCCATACCTGTGGGCAATCTATGTCCTTCAGGTACATCCGTTGTCTCTTTTTGTCTCTGTATCGGTCGGGCTCATCGAAGAACTGCTCAGTCAACTTGGGCATATGCTTGAGGTAATGCTTGATAGTGAGAGGAATGTTTTCCTGCGTCATGAGATTACGTGCGTTCTCCACTACATCTCTGTTAGCTATGCGCCTAAGGCTGTCGCAACGTAGTCTGCGTACCTTTGTCGCCATGGTTGTCACGCAGCCATGATGGCGTAAAGGTCCAGGGATCCATTACTTCATCGAATCCATCGATGACAAGGGGTTTACCACCTATGATTACATGCAACAAGACGAGTTTCTCAAATGCTTCTATACCGTTGGTCGCAATCATTTCATACGATATGCGGTCGACATATTGAAAATTGTCGGCATTTTCGACAAAGGTGCGCACGTCAAAGTCGGGTGGGATGGGTTCGAAAGAAGCCCGGGGGCGCGCAGCTGGCATTGTTGCAGCCGTTCGCTGGCATCCAGGAATCCAGTCGCAAAATCAGTGGGGTGGTAGTACGTGAGAACAGCAGTCGCTTTTGCGGCACAGTCAGAATTGCAAAACACGGGAATTTGCGCTGGATTAGTTGTTACAAGGAACTATGATCGCAAGGGTTTCAAGAGAAAGTCCCTTAAGAAAGGCACCTCATGTCGGCTTAAGGGCAAGGAAGTAAGCTTGGAAGATGTGGTCGCGAGACACCTGTCGCGACTTGACGAGCGATCACGTGTTCACGGGAATTAGCGCGAACTAGCCTTTCGCACTCACCCTCACCTACCAGCCCTTATCGAGCATTAGCGGAGTGGGCCAGTCAAAGTTCGACCTTCACCATTACTCCAAATATTGCGTGTTTTCACAATGGGCATGGCCTGCTGATAGCGCTAATGCGCACACGTGTTCCACAAACAGCACAATTCAATTTCCTGTGTGTACCGACCAGAGGACAGTATATGTTGCCTTGACCTATCCGCTATGACGTTTTTAAAACTGTGTGCTGCACAACCACCAGCATTGTATCGACAATACGCTGGTAGAGCATTCAAATCACGGTTCCGTTACACCAATGGGTTCGCATCGCAATTGGGACGAAACCAATCCTCGACACCCCTGCTGCGTACTGCACAACGACCACAACCTACTCAACTCACCAAGTCCATACATCCAAAGTCACTACAGCCTAGCTTCGGAGTCGCAACAGCAACAGTGCCACAAGATGCGCCATCAAAACCGCTTCCAAGCTATGTACCACCAACTACCGGTATCTTGTCGTATCTGCCACAGAAATTCGTCCCATATGGCGAATTGATGAGACTAGACAAGCCTGCTGGAACCTACTATCTCTTCTTTCCGTGCATGTTCAGCACACTCCTTGCTGCCACCATGGCCACGCCTGTTGCCGCGCCTTCCGCAGTCCTAGGAACGACAGTCCTCTTCTTCACTGGTGCACTCATCATGAGAGGAGCTGGATGTACCATCAACGATCTCTGGGACCGTAATCTCGATCCACATGTTGAACGAACGAGATTACGACCAATCGCTAGGCGAGCCATTACTCCTCTGCAAGCTCTTGTCTTCCTTGGTGGACAGCTTACGACCGGTCTTGCTGTGCTTCTTTCTTTTCCAGCTGAATGCTTCTGGTACGCTACGCCGTCACTTATACTCGTTACTCTCTATCCTTTGGCAAAGCGAGTCACGTATTATCCACAGTTCGTCCTGGGTCTTACGTTCTCCTGGGGTGCCATGCTGGGCTTTCCTGCGTTGGGTATCGATTTGCTTGCGAACCAAGCGGCTTTGATCGCAGCTACATGTTTATATGCTAGCAATGTTGCATGGACCGTTCTCTACGATATGATATATGCCCATATGGATATCAAAGATGATTTCAAGGCTGGCATTAAGAGCATCGCGCTCAAGCATGAGAAGGAAACGAAGCAAGTACTCTCGGGCCTCGCTGTTGTTCAGCTTGGTCTGTTATCCGCCATGGGAGTTGCAGCAGGACTCGGGCCAATCTTTTTCGTTGGCTCAGTTGGTGGTGCAGCCCTCACACTGGGCACTATGATTCGCCGAGTCAAGCTGAAAGAGGTTAAGAATTGCTGGTGGTGGTTTGTCAATGGCGCATGGTTCACAGGAGGTGCCATCAGTCTGGGTCTCGCAGGAGAATATGTCGCGCATCTGCTTGGTTGGTATGAGGATGTTGAGAAAAAGAAGGAGGCAGGCAAGATGCATATTAGTGTCTAATGCATACTCCGCATGATAGGTAGGTTTATTACACAGTTATCCGATGATAATTTTTGGCTATACGAAGCAAAAAATCTATAAGGATAGTCTTGGTTATGTTTTTCATCCATGAGAATAAGTCAAGCTCCTGTCTGGAACATACATCTCAACCACTGTCATCTGAAGTCAATCCTCCACTATACTCCATATTATTGGATGCATGCAGTCAGAAGTTTTCCAACTTTGTAGGCCTTGCTATATCCACCGACCTTGCTCTTTCCATCAGCCTTATTCTTTCCACCGACCTTGCTATATCTAACGATCTTGTTCTTTCTACCAACCTTGCTCCTTCTATGAGCCTTCTTCTTTCTACTGACATTGTTCTTTCCATCGAAATTGCTCTATTCAATGTGCTGCATGAATTTATATCAGTATCTGGACTGATCGAAGGGGTCGTTCCCCAGGACGATGGCCCAGCTGAGCAAGCGGATGCTGAAAGTGGTGATTGTTCTGGGATAATCGGCGTTATCGTTTCTTTATTGACAATGGTGCTATTAGAAGACCCAGTTTCTTCATCCATTTCGTATGTTGCTACCATGTTTAGTAAAGACGTAGATTGTATGACAATAGGGAGGCGTACTCTCTACCCGATCATTTCTTAGCCGGCGGCACAACACAAATATGAGGGAGTCTCTGTGATGCAGACTAAACAAGGCAACAACCACACTAAGGATACCAGCAACCCCAAAGATGATCTGCAGCGCTGCGCTTATTGTGTCGGCATGTTTGGTTGACATGGTTGCGCCTTTGAGGTGTATGCGGAGTTATGATTGGTCGATCGTACTTATCAACGAACGAGTAGAAAGTGGGCAAAAAAAAAGCGGATTGAAAAGCGGTAAACTGGTACAGAATAGCTTTTAAGAGATAATGTGAATCATTCCATAATTCTTAATAGTTATTTTGTCGTGGGTTTAAACAATTCTTATGTATGTTTCCAGCTCCTCGACAAAACTACGTTGGCTGCACACTGCCCCGTTCCAAGAACGCCATGTGGAGCCAAACTTGGCTAGTGTGGTGCCCCTGCTTCATATGCTTCGTTCGCATCATTTGTTTTCTATTCACCGTCTGATTCTACTGGTTCTTCTAGTTCTTATAATGGAGATTCTGGTGTTCGTCACATGACTAGGTGCCATCCGAAGACGGACATTTCACACATCTCAGCATGGCTGTAGCCAATGAGCAGAGGTTCCTTCGAGCCAACCAGGCCCTACTTCCTCCTCCCCTTCCTCCGCTTCTTCTTGCATGCAACACCTTTGGGGACCTATCGTAATATGCAGCTACAGCTACAATAATGTTTGCTAATTTGGCCTTGTTACTTTAAATTTGGTTCTTTGGTTAAGACTAAGGCTCTTGCTAAACCAGTACGGATACACACCGCATCTACACCTCTAGATCGCACACGCAACATCTACTGCTGACACTGTAAAGGCATGATGGCAGTCTGATCAGTTTGTTTGTTCCTGAATTATATTCTAACGGGTCATCTACTTCCTGTATCACGATGCATTTGGAATGACTTACATAAACTGAATTCCTGTTCATCTTTAAGGATTATTAGATTGCGCATTTTACTAGCGCCCTCCATACTACAGTACATCACGAGGTGTAAAGTATGTTCACAAGGCAGGTAATCATTGCAGCAGACCGTAAAGATCTGGAGAGGTACCCATATTCTTACTCTTGTGACATACCCGTATCTAGGCCAAAAGTCATGCCCAACAACCAAACAAATCCGTAGAATTGATTTCTGCTGAACAAGAACCATACCCAGCCTCGTACAGTATTACTACAAGTCTTTTCTCCTCCGTTTTCTCTCAAGCTCACTTCACCTTTGATAAAATCTTGTTTTTAATCAAGCAAGATCTGAAAGTTAAACGTATCTTATACAAGACGATTGCATGTAATAGAATCTTCATAGTCAACTCGCTTTCCGTCATTTAGAGCATACAATACGTCGTATCGCTTGACTACCTTGCGAGACATTGTGAAGATATCCGCATGGGACTCTGGTCGGAAATTTGATCCTATGACGTTGCTTTGAAGATGAATTGAATATGGCTTCCCTCACGATGCGTTCAAATTGTCAAGTGTCAAATATTCAGTAAAGTAAGGACATGCTCGTATTCTTGACCCACATCAAGGTCCCTGCCAAGCGCGGCGTTCTGCCACTCGGGCCCGCCCAGTGACAGCATAGCTTCCCCAAACTCCTACAGCCAGCTTCGCGCGACATCTCCGCGCCAACTCTCCACTTCGGCGCCTCATACTTGCATAGAGCGCTGCAAGTAGTATATATAGTCTTTGTAACACCCACCACTTGATCTGAGCGGCCAAAGACACAAACGCGCCCCAGCAATGGCTTCGCGACTGGTGCTGGTCCTAGGCGACCTCTTCATACCAGACCGCGCTTCGGTACGTCTCCCAAGCCACACGTGTATTGCTCGAACCTCACAGACTCACAGGCGACTTAGGATATACCGGCAAAGGTACACTTGTAGACATTTCCTTTGCACTGCCGATTGGATGCTCCAACGTAAACACAGAGAGGCGCATGGGCTCACACCACCCCGCAGTTCAAGAAGCTCCTCGCGCCCGGCAAGATCGGTCAAATCCTCTGCTTAGGCAACATAACCGACCGCGAGACGTACGAATTCCTGCGCGGGATTGCGCCCGATCTGCAGATTGTAAAAGGCGACTTTGACGTGGAAGCGCCGAATCTCGCCCTGTCAAAAGTAGTCACGCACGGCAGCCTGCGCATAGGCTTCACGCACGGCCACACCATCATACCACCGGGCGATGGCGACAGTCTGCTGATAGCGGCGCGCCAGATGGACGTCGACGTACTCTTGTGGGGCGGGACGCACAAGTTTGAGGCATATGAGATGGAGGGCAAGTTTTTTGTGAACCCTGGGAGCGCAACGGGCGCCATGTCGACGGGTTGGTGGCCCGAGGACGAAGATCCCACGCCGAGCTTTGTCCTCATGGACGTGAGTCTTTTTCCTTCTTACCTTTTTACCCCGCGAAACATCTACCTGTTACACACGTCCATACACATGATGTGGACGGGGTCAAGTGTGGAGCAAATGAGAAAGCACGAGGCTAACAAGTGGGTGTGTGCGCGCAACAGGTGCAAGGTGACGTGCTTGTCCTGTACGTCTACCAACTCCGCAAGGACGCCGAAGGCAACGAGAACGTTGCGGTGGAGAAGGTGTCATTCCGGAAAAACGGAGGTGGTGCAGCATAGACGGAAAATGAATGGTTGTACCAACGAGCGACGACGACGGAGTGGGGTGGGTTGGAAAGACTGAAAACGCAGATCATATAATGCGTTCGTTGTACAAAGCACTTCCCCCGACTAGTAGTAAGACCATGATTCATGTGTGTTCCCCCCAACGAATAGCGAAAGTTCCAGGGTCCCACTGCATCACAAGATGCTATTGTGTGCTCCCTTTTTTTTTCTACCCCTCTTTCTCTGTCTCTCTCTCATTTGCCCAAATGAAACCTCATCAAGACGATCTTTCTATCTAGTGTTCGACTCGTACACGAACGTGCAGGAAGTTTATATCTCTGCACTCATGTGGTGATCTGCATCAAGTTATGGATTTTTTTTATCCCCTAGAACTAAGTTATCCACGGACACCGACGGACACCGAAACATCATATCTTAGCATTAGTGTCACTTTTTAGTTTTATTCCTAATACTAAGTTTAACCCCCCCGCATGCATTTTGCACAGCACAAGGGCAGGCAAGATCGAAATGTCTCACCCGCGTGAGTTTGGGGAGAGAGAGGCTATACGCACTTCTTGCATATACTTGAAGCATAAACTAACATTTTTTATTCTTCGGTACAAACCAATTAGAAACTACGTAGATTAATGGATGTTTTGTGCACTGCACATGATGCTACCTATGCAAAAAAAATCCGCTTGTCAAAGAAAACCTTTGCAGCTTTGTTGGGAAAAGTGTTATGCCACATCTGTTTCTGTTTCTATCAAACATGTTTCCATTCCATTTTTTTTCCCTTTTCGTTGATCTCCACTCTCTCCCCGTTTAGGAGTACAGAACGTGCAGAAACCACATCATTAATACCGGTCATGCCGAACTTACTGGCTCTTGACGTATTTGTGTGTTGTGGATTCATCACCACTACGCTGTTGCTTCACAGGCACATTACAGGTGTTCCTACATGCACATATGTGTAGGTTGAAAACGCATCCCAAACCCCCCATAAAACCCGCCAACAAACTCCCATTCATCTTTTCTGCTGCCCAACCATCACCACCAACACCATGAGAATAATCAAGCCCTCCCCTCCCCCCCCCCAAAAAAAAGCCTAAAAAATCAAGTGGTTTCATACGTCCACCTGTTTTCTCCCCCACCCCCACTTTACATCTTGATTGGACGCTGAGCTACATGACGGGGGGGACCGAAGCGAGAAGACGACTTGTCCATTTCTAACTCGCTGGTTTTATTCGCAACTTCGCTTGAGGCCTTTATTGAGGCTTTTTTTTTTGACACTCTGGCTGGAAAGTAGAGGGCAGTTACATGTCAACACGAATGGGTTTCCCGAACTAGCTAAGTGCGAGAAACTTGGTTTACGACTACATAGAGTGGGGAATGGGGGGGGGGAGTGTTGGCAAGTGCTGCTTGTGTTGAGGAGAAGAAAGAGTGGGGGGTGAGGCAAGTGCAACGTTCAGAGATCGGTGTAAAGGGATGGATGGGAAAGAGAGTTTGAAGGGGGGTGGGGAATGCTGATTGTCATGCGGTTTTTTTTTGTGTGTAGTATGGCCCCCGGTTTTTTTCTCGGATTGAAGGTAGCGGGGAGGCTGAGCGGGAGGATACGGGAGGAGCAAGAGAAAAATGGCATGATTGAGTACATCAGCAATGGTTAGGTGGGGAGGGGATGATTTGCATGTAGTTCAGACGGGACGGGAAAAAAAGAAGGCGATGCTACATTGCCATTGTTCCATTATAGAGTGGCAATGGGGGTAAACACACATGCAACATGTACGGTTGGGTGGTGGGGGCTAGTAACCCTTTTTTTCTCTCTCTCTCTTTACTTTTTGGGTGGGATTGAAAGAACGGTTCGTTGGCTTCTAGCTCTTGTCGCCGTCCCGCTGGTTCAATACGTGCTTGACGGCGGTACCGACCTGCTCGAAGACGGCGGGCATGCAGGCAATCATGCCCCAATTGCGCTCACCTTTGATCTTGCGGCCGGCAGAAAAGTCAATCTGCTCGCCGCGGAAGTCACTAATGATACCGCCGGCCTCCTGGAAGAGCAAGTGGCCGCCGGCGTGGTCCCAGATGCAAGTGAAGCGGTCGAGCGTCTTTGGGATGCGCACCATGACGTCTGTTGCGCCGAGGGTGAGAGCCACGTATTTCATCTGCTGGGACCATAGCACGGTGCCTGGCCAGCTTGCACCGAGGGCAGTGGCAACGGCTTCGTGTTCCGTCTGCGAGAGCGACGTCTTGCCAATCGTGGCCTCGACAAAGTTTAGGTCAGAGGTCTGCTTGGGTGGTAGCGTAGTCAGGTCCACGTGTCGGGCGTGGGCTCCAGGACCGCTGACTTCCATGGTACGCAAAAACGTGCCTTGACCCTTGACGGCCGAAAGAACCACGCCATAGCCGTCGCTGTCGACGTCGTCTTCGCTGATGCGTATCGAGCCCAGCGTGCCTTGCAGGGGAAAGGCGAGGTTCGGACACGCAATCACGCCCACTTGCTGTACGCCATCAACAAGCAAACACAGACAAACGGCGTACTGCTGGCCCCGCATAAACGTTGCGGTGCCATCGACGGGATCCATGACCCAGACACGTCCAGATCCCGTGACTTGGCCGTTGCCGCCCCGGTCAATCAGATCGAACATGTCCTCCTTGGATGCGGGAAACGCTAGCACTGGGTCTTCCTTCAAGTCGTGCGCAGCAGCAGTAGCAGCAGTGCTTGCAGTTGCCTTCTCATCTTTGCCGTTTGCATCCAGACGCGCATCAGCCTCCTCTTTTGCCTGTTGCACAAGCTGCCATACCCGGTCAGCCAGGGCCTCGTTTTGGCGCAGTGCATCTGCGCTCTCCTCGCCCAGAAAGGCGTCGTCAGGATACACGGCATGAAGTGCGGAGATGAGGAGTGCTTGTGCGGCAAAGTCTGCAATCGTGACGGGACTGTCGTCTGCTTTGGTTTCGGCAGACACGTTGTTGGAGAGGTTCCGGAGCACCGATTTGGTGAGGACGGATGCACGGTGGACGGCGCGCAGGGCGAGTCGGAGCTCTGCGGTATAGGCCATTGCGGGGGTAAATTCGCGGGGGAAATAAAATGTCCACTATGTGATACGTATTGCAAAATTGCTACTATCAGCGGTGTTTAGACAATGGTTTCAATGGCTTTGTTCAGATGAGGTGATGGACGTGTTAGAAGCTACTTTGCAAGCGCATAGTAAGCGAGGCTGGCGTGACTTGAACATTCTGAGAAGGAAAAAAAGTCTTTTTTTTTTTGCTCAATGAAGCTCAGTCTCTACCAACAGATACAAAAGACATAAATCCTACATGCTACAATGAGCAGGATACATATCAGACATGGTGTATTATATATATCCTGACCATAACGCCACCACTATTCCATTTACATTTAATACGAACAATGATTTGAGTTATCTCAAAGTCAAACAGACGGTCCGAATCTGGGCTTGATCAGGCGAGTATGGTGTATCGTAGAATGCCATTAGGACCCTGAGAAAAAAATATCATTGCGGCGTATCTCCGATTCTACCCGCAGGACCCTTTCGTCGCCAACAGAGGCCGAGTGGGAAGGATAGCCGTTGAAAAGAGAACCCACTTTGAATCCACCCGCCTCAGCAAACGGGCCGATGTTTCGGGGTAGTTCCAAACCCGGGAGATGACCATCAGGGATCAAGCGAGCACAGAGAACGAGGCTGCTCAACAGCAATGCGCGCCTCAGGGTTTGCGCTCCGTGCTGGAATTGATGGTCGGAGTACACTACACCTAGAGTGAGGTGCTTCTGCCACTTATGTTACATAGCATGCACTTGGCTGCGACGAAAAGGGATTGCCTGTTGCGGGGTGCAGCGCGTATATCTATCGGGTACGGATGCCCCGGGAGTGAAGGATATTGGTGAGAATGGCGGTGTTATGTATGTACCCAAGTGTATTATTACAGATGCTTCTGTTTCCAAAGACAAAGTGTTTGGAGTTCTATGCGCCAACTATTGGGCCAGTCGTGTCCTGCATCATCTCGCATGGCGAGCACACAAGCGACGGGCTGCGCGGAGGGTAGGGGTATGCTGTTGTTAGATGAGGCCTAGATGCTCTAGCTGCATCGCCCTGAGCCCTAATATCGGCGATGAGAGGAGAAGGTTTGAGTATTGGCTAAGTGCATCATGGATGTGGATGCATGGATATTGAAGGAGATATTTTGGGGGTGTTAGTTGTGTGGTTTGTTGGGGCTGATAGGCGTGTCAAAAGCACAGTGAATGTCCAAGGCGTGTCGCACACACGGGTGCAGGCAGAAGGGCGCACATAGTGTTTGTGGAGAAGGCAATGTAGAAAACGAAGAGAGCTTTTTTGGGTCCAATAGTCGGCACTGCCTCGATTGTCGCGGTGCTGAATCGCGGGCGGGCGGGACGGCAAGAGGGACAGCTAGATAAGCAGAGTTTCAAGGGGGCCAGATTAGAACAAGTGTGGATGTGGCGATAAGAGCGAATGGAGTGGTTCCTGCAGACGAGTGTAAGCGTCAACATGTTCACTTTTGTGCCGTGCGCCATCTAGGGTCCTGCAGCAACGAAGGACGTCTGCATCTGGGCAAAGAGGAGGAGCGTGGGGGCTGTCTGTGGTCGCGTATGTAGTATAGTGAGGGAGGAGTGCATGCAGGCTGCTCGTGCTCGTGTTGGATATAAGCGTGCAAGTGACTTGCAGTTGAGGGCAGGCTGGTGATTGGTGCGGAGGGGGCCATGGGGGAGGGGGGGGGGCGTGAGGGCAGCTGGAACGGTTTGGTGGACGGTTGCTGGTTGCCTGGGCTGGTAGGGGCGCGGTTGTGTGGGCCGAGCGTTCTTATCTCGCTTGCCCTGGGAGAGGAGGGGAGGGGGGAGGGGGGTGTGGCCATAGTGGATGGATGGAGGACGCTCTGGAATGGTTTGCGCAGGCCATTGACAGCGGGAGAAAAAAAATATTTGAGCACGAGTTTGTGGGACGGATAGAGGCTGGCGTCGCTGAGGCCGGACGCCCGGATTGGGGGGCTGGCCTGAGCAAGAGTCCAGATCAGTCTGCCGGGGGACGGATTGGGAGAAGAAAGGCGTGAGGCGCTCAGCAAGAGGCGAAGCGAGGCATGAGACACTTGCAGGCACATGCCTGAGGAGTTCGCAGCATTGAGGGATGGGGTTTATTGGGAGAAGAAAAGAGAGTGTTGAGGGATAGCACGAGGCGTTGCGGAGGTCAAAGGTGTGAGGGTGGTGTGTCGTGCATGGGGAGGGTGGAGATGGTCGCTGCAGGACAAGGCGAGTGGTTCTCCTACTAAGATTGGCAGACGGCATCGAGCACGTCAATGGCGACAGATAACGTCTTCAGTGTCGCAATAAGCGGCAGACATGGCTCTGGTGGGGCTAAGAAGAAGAGGCACAAGGGGGGAGGGGGGAGCTTAGGCGAGCGGAAGCAGAAGGAAAGAAAAGCAAGTAGTCAATGTGTGTACAAGTATAGTAGCATGGTATAGTTTGGCAGTGTGACGGCAGCAGAGGGACATGGCGATGGGATGGATGGATGGAGGGCAGCGACGCCCCATGACTGCTGAAACCGATAAGAGGCAGTGTGGTTGTGGAAGAGGGGCATGGAGCTTGAATAGGAAGCCTTGTTCCTAGATTTGCACATTGCAGTCATCTGGTGCGCAGGCGCAGGGCCGGGGCAGATGACTAGCACTGGTTGCGTAGTCACGCAGTGGGCGGGAGAGTGGGCAGAGTGGGTAGAGTGGGCAGAGTGGGAGGGGAGGGAGGGAGGGAGGGGAGGAGAGGGTGAGAGGGTGAGAGGGCAGAGCGGAGGTGTCAGCAGGCAGAGTGAGAGGGCCATGGCAGTAAGTAAACACCGCGGCCGAAGATTCTGGTGCATATCCGCACATGTATGTATGTATGTATGTATGTATGTATGTAGTAGGGTGGGTGGTGTAAGTCAATGGCATGCTAGTGGTACACTACACCCACCTCGAGGTGCGCATTCACACGGCGTTTGGGCTGCACAGGGCGCGGTGGAGAGGCATAGCAACAAGTAGGACGTGGGCGTGGGTGTGGGCGTGAGGGGTGCATGCAGCGCTCGAGGCTACAGCGCTTGCGACGAAATTCAGACGTCGTTGGTTGCTTGGCTGCATATGGTCAGCCCGTGCGGAGACGACCAGGGATGGCCGAGGACCCTGTCGGCACCATCTGCTGAGAGGCGTCTAGGGTCAGCCGTAGTCTGCGTGTGTGTGCGTGTGTGGATGCGTGTGGGTGCGTGTGTGGGTGCTGCCAGTGTAGTGTGCCTGAGCGCAACTTAAGTATATCCCCCATCCACTCCCTCCCGCCGCCGCTCCACACACGGACGCTTCATCCGCTCCACCTCGCTCTACTATATCTCTCCTGCCTGACCACCCTCTCTGACTCCCACCTTCACACCTGCCACCCGCTCCCTCTACACAAAACCTGTTGCCTGTCCCTCGTCCGCCCACGGCTTGACCACACCCTACCCCAGCGACTCAATTACCGTCGCCCTCTCTATATATATATATATATAATATCAACCACCACAACCACAACCACTCCTACATCACCCGCCGCAATGGCTTCCCAAATGGAGTGCTTCAACGACTTCTGCCTCTCCTGCGACCGCCAGATTGCCGAGAACGGCGTCTACTGCTCGCAATCGTGCCGCCTCGCCGACCTCGAAAGGGCCGGCACCACCGCACAAGCACCCTCGCAACTGTCATCCTCGGCCTCATCGTCATCCTCGTCCAACAGCGGCTTCTACCTCGCCCCCGCAATCAACTTCTCGGCATACAAGGCGGCATCCACGTCGTCGCAAGCAGTCCCCTCGAGCCCCTACCACTACTACCCCACCGCAAACGGCAGCTACTTTGCACCCCCCACGGCAACCAGGCAATCACCCCAACGCAGCCTGACTCCCTCATCATCACGCTCCTCGCTAGCCTCTTCGTCATCATCACGGACTCAATCGGGCATCTCGCAACAAGCGGCCACGCAGCTCAGCAGCTACGTACGATCGTTTGACCAGACCCGAGACGTCAAGAGGAGGTACACACAGTACTAAGGCCCCTTCGCCCCCTTCTGCCAATCTCGCCATTTGCGAGGCTGGCCTCACGACATTAATGACGGCGGAGCCTTTTATCCCCCCCCTTGCGTCCTTGGGCTCTCACTGCCCCTCCTCATGTTCAGTTTTGCATTGGGTCCCATGGCCTCGCCCGCCTGGGACTGGCATGGGTCCACGGAGTTCACCTGCATAAGCACCACCGCTGCTCTCCCTTTTTCCACCACCTACTAGTTCTGTAACCATTTCCTTTGTCAAGATACGTGGGTGCGCGGTGTACGATCAAAAAGTATTTATATCCATATCCCCCTTTGGTGTTTCTGGGGGGTGCAGGGCCGAGTGAGCCCCAGTGTTTTGTGTTATCTGGAGCATTTGCAGCCCCGGCGATGGGTTTGCTCGTAGTTGGGACGGCTGGATATCCTCTGTTGCGTAAGCCGACTGCGAGAGTCGTGCCTGCTTTTTCTCACCTCACCTCACCTCTACCATAGCTTAGTAGTAGCGATTCCTCAAATGGAAGCCATGATCACGGGCATAGACTCGTGGTCTTTCACACACACACACACACATCTACACTCTTCTCCTATACAGTGATGACTAGAGCCCTGTCTACACGTGATGAGGCACTCTTCTCATCTCATCTCACCTCACCCATCCATCCATCCATCCATCCATCCATCCAGTGCATAGCCTCATACTCAGATAAGCCCAAGGCGAGACAGGTGAGACATACAGGGCGCGCAAGGCTTAGTCCCTCTGCCCTCTCCATGGACAAGGCGGTTTAAACTTTGGTAGCCGCGCAATGCCCTAGCCCACACATGGACGGTGACTGCGCAGGGTCACGATTGGGGGGGCAGCATGAGGCACGACTAGGGGCCCTGCCCGCGCGGGAGTGCCAGGCAGAGGAAGAAATTTTTTTCCCTCACAATGATCCAGAAGCCAGCCACAGCCTGGCCGCACACAACGGGCATCAATCAGCAAGTGAGGGCGCGGTGGCGAGAGTTGGACAGCAGGGAGGGTGGGATGTTGTTGAGAGGGGTTTCCCAACGAGCAGGGCAGCATCCACTCTGGCGCCGTGTCCCCTCCCCTGGGAAGGGCGAAGGAGTTGGCCATGTTCCCTACTCGTCGCCTGTGTCCTGACTCGCCCGTCAACGCCCCTGTTATTGGCCCATGCGCCCGACGGGGTGGGGCGCCTCGTAGCTTGGCTTCTCCGCACTTTGGTGAACGGCCCGTCCATCGTCATGGGCACCGCCGACAGCCCTCAGTCCGCCACTCACCATGCCTGCGAGCAAAAAAGCAATCGTCCCACCCTCCATCATGCCGCCTTTCTCACCTTGGAGGGGGGAAATGTCGCCATTGCGCGACATTGCCAGCGTCATCCCAGTCGCCCAATCTACTACAGCCTTCCATTGCAATCGTCATCACTGTTCCATGCCTCTGTTGCAAAATTAGCACGCTACTATTACTACTACTACTACTACTACTACTACTACTACCACTACTACAATCAAAGGCCTCATGCCCACCCCCCACGAGGCAATTTTTTTTCCTTCTTCTCCCCAGGCCGCGACGACTTTCCTTCGGTCCCCCATCCGCGCGCTGCCAGCTCACCAGGGCTCCACTTGGCAAGCGAGCCCCGGGAATCACAGTGGACCATCCGGGCCCCACGGCTCTGGAGGAGCACTCACGGCACATTCCCTTAAGACGTGACTATGTAACTTATTCCCATCCTAGCGACTCCCGGTGGTTAGGTCATCGACAGAGGCGCAGGTGCGACGACTGTCAAGCGCTCGTCGTGTGACATGGCGCTAGTGCCAAATCCGATCACACCACTCACAGTCCACCTTTTTCTTGCTCGCTTGCTCTCGCATGCCTGCTCTCCGCAAGGGCCTGGTGAACTATTCCGAGATCCGAGCACTTGGACATCGATACCCGCAACAGGTCGCCTCAAAACATTGAGCCTTGCACCGCTTGCGGCTCCCTTTCGCTTTGCGTCCGCCTCGCATGCAAGCTGCCTGCTCTCTTCGCATCTCGTCCCGTCTTGAGCTAGCCCAGGCCTGCCGCTCTCTTGCGCAGGGTTAGACTGTTCGGATGTTGAGCCCACGCAAAGACCACTTGTCGCGACGGACCGGAGAAGGCTACCACGTCCCCGACGGCAAACCCGAGCACACAGGGCGTGTTGAGCCTCTTCCAGACTCTCAGGAGCCGAAGGCACGCTACCAGGCCGCGACACAAAAACAATTTCTCCTTCTTCAACAAAAGGTTGCCTGCATCCTCGGACCCCCCCCCCCCTAGTCATTGGTACCGTTTGCCCGTTGTCTGCTCGTCAGTTTCCGATATTCGGCCCGGAAAAGTGAGTCACTAGTATGCTCGATGCTGTACGAACGGCTGGCCGATCGTCTCGCCCTCCGCATCGCCCTGTGTTTATTGATCCAAGCGATTTGCAATTCCTTCTCCACCCACACACGCAAAAGATACATGCACAATAAAGTCGCCAATTGCGTCCGAGCGGAGGCCTTGCATGCGTCCGGTTCCTGTCAGTACGCTGATCACCCACAATCATGGGGACGCCCATCGCCTAGCCGAACGATAGGTTGAACTCAACCGCATGGAGCGTGGCTAGGTGCAGGCGCAAACGTCCAGTTGCTTACATGTGCGCAACCTGTTCGTCTCAAAGGGGCGCATCAGTCTTGGTGACTGTGCTTAGAAACCATACGATGATCACGTTTGCCTCATGCAAGGAACCCGCACGGCAAGCACAAGCGTCAAGCGTCAAGCGTCATCGCGATTTACAATGCCAATATGCACTGGAGCGATCATTTAAAATCATCTAACCTATCGCGTCTCCTCGCCTATCGCGCTGGCTTCGTCCTATGAACTTTGTTGTTTCACCCTCACGCACAAACCCCACTTTTACCCAGCCATGTACACTACCTACACACTTCGCCCATCACTCTAGTTTATGCCTCGTTTCTGATAAACAGGCACTTTGGCAGACTCCGTCCCTCATGGCCAAGTTACAACAAATGCCGGTCTTGGGCGACAAGCAAAATGCTTGTGCTAGCCGTGTCACAAGGAGTGCGAGATAAGACAGCTGCTGACTCGAGATTAGGAATTGTAGAAGCGCATGATTACATCACGAGTAATTTCCAATAGCAATCCAATCGGCCTCTCCGCCAATGTTCTTGACTCGCTTGAAGACTTCCCAATGTAGAGGTTCGCTGCAGGGCTACACGGCACGCGCCGTCCACGATCGGATCGCCAGATCTCTGTCGTTTGCATGTAACCCAATGCGTTCCGTGCAACTGGCAGTCACGGCACATTGCGCACGCCTCGTTCCCAAAGCATCACTCGCGCTAGCCAAGGCAGATTCCAATACCTTTTGGCTTCACACCATCGCCGTCTCTAGTGCATTCGTCTTCTGAACAGCGCCATCGAAAAGTACCGGAGCTAAGGTAATCCACGTGGACACTGAGAAACGCAAACAGGTTGTATATGCACCGCCACCCGTATACATAACCTTTTTGGCGACAAGGCGACTGTGTCTACAACATATGTTCCTTGTTCTTTGCGCCTCAATCCTGAGCCAAAAGCCCAAACTGTTGTCTTGGGCAGCCACACACACAGTGTCCCACAGCGAATCGTCACTGTCCGAAATACCACCGCTGCAGCCAAACAGAAACAGTAGTGACATGTTTTGCCAACCTTTTTATTCTATTTTGCCGCGTCAAACGCACAGCGGCTGTAATGCAAGTAAGGAAAGAGTCGCCAGTCAACGGCTTTTGTTATTTTATCCACCCGGAACATTATGCCGCACGAGGCAATTTCTCCTACAGTACACCCTACACGTTATCATGATGTAAGTATTGGGCAGCAGAGAAATTATTCCATTGGGCGGGGATTTTCTTAATTTCCCTCTATCCCTTGGCTATTCCGCTAGCAACGTCCGGTGACTTTGTTGTCTACTACATTACTCTTCCACTTTTTTTTGATCCTTCTGACCGGACGGCCAACAATCCTTTTCTGGTTTCTCTCTGTGTACTTGTCATCCCGTTTCTGGATCCACGTCGTGAAGTCATTGTGGAGCTATGTTTATCTGACTCACGGTGTGGCGAAAAAAACTTACCTTGAAACGAAGTTTCTAAAGGATGCAAGAGATGCAGGGTTACTTTGACTTGTGGGAGTGGTGTAGTGGAGGGATAATACGAGTACGGGAGAGATGTGCCATCGGAATGTACCGAAGACATGGTCATCGCGCGCGAATCGCGGCGAGGCTGGGAAAGAGTGGAAACGGAGTATACCGAAGACCTGCCTTCGCGCGAGGCGCGGGTGGAAGGTCAATATCAAAGGAGAAATGAGTATCTAGGTAGGTGAGGTGTAAAAGGTCATTGCTGTAGTTTACTCGGTAGTTGACATGGATTTCTCGTCATGTATGCGTGGGCGGTAGAAGTCCTGTGCACTAGTTTTCTCACAGATACAAGGGCCTTTGCCCATACAGTGTTGGTCATTCAGAGAAAAAAAAAGAGATGCATGAGGAGTAACATTATCAGTACTAATAGTAGAGCTCAAACAGCGTCTTTAAGGGTTGTGATTTCTTACCCTCTGGTTTCTCCCTAAAATCGAGATAATAACCTCAGTTATTTTCCTACTGTTCCCGTCCAAAAAAAATCCATTTTCAGTCTCTCTCTGTCTTCCCAACATGAACCTCTTGCAAAGTTCAGTATTAAGAAATTTATTTTTTCTTCCGTGCATTTTCTTTTCTCTCCCTTGGCAATGTTTACTCGCAACTCTTCGCGACGATGGAAATTAATGCATTTTGAAAGAAAAATAAAAATCAAGACTACCAGCCCATCAAGACATCCGTTCCCTTGCATTTTTGACTCCAACATACAGCATTCTTTATTTTTTCAAATTTTAAAATAACCTTAAATTCGAGCTCAAAAAAAAGACCAACTACTATACAAGAAACGCATAGGGTACTCTCAATCGAGCTACCTAGATAGAAACAAAGAACAAAAAACAAAAAATCCTTTACAAACGCCAATACAGCAACGCAGCCCATATAAGCCTCTTCCTAGTTGAGCATGGGAAGACAAAGATAGAGGTAAAGAGATGTAAGTAAAAAAAAAAAGAACCCGAAAACCGCCCCAAATCAAGGTCTGGGAACCACATCCAAAGAATATATGTATATATAAACAGGTCGAAGAAAAGGAGCAAGATGAAGTCGTCGAAAAAAAAAGGTGAATATCCAAAAGAAAAAAAAAACACAAGGCAGAAATCCAGCCTTTTGCCAATTCCAACCCACCTCCCCGACCAGAAAATCACCCTCCCAAGACAAGAAAAAAAAAAGAATCAAGAACTACCACCACCCATCAACTTCCTCCTCTGCCTCTCCGCCCACTCCCTACTCGCAATTCTGCCCCTCTCCGCCGCCTCAGCCCTCGCCCTTTTCGCAGCCTCTTCCTTCTCCCTCCTCTCCCTCTCTCTCGCCTCCTTCTCCACACGATCACGATTGAAAACTTCTTTGCCCTTGAGTTTCAGTTGAATCGCATCTGCGGGCGTGACTACGGCTTTGGGGACGAGAATGCTATTGCGGTTGGAGGAGGAAGTGGATGTAGAGCGGGATTGGTGGGGCAAGGGGTGCGAGAGGGACATACTGCTTCGTTTGCTGGCGAGGGACGTGGAACGTTGTTGTTGTTGTTGTTGTTGGGGAGGAGGAGATGGAGGTGGACCGATTGTTACACCTGGGGCTTCGGCGGGGGAAGGGCGCATGGGGATGGTGACGGGTTTGCGGGATACAACTGGTGCGGGACGGGGCTTTTGTGCTGCTGCTTCTTTTTTTGCTGCTTCTGCTTCTTCCATGCGTTTGAGCCGCTCTTCTTTTTTGAGGCGAAGTTTTTCGGCGATGGCAGAGCCGGGGAGCTCGAATTTGGGCTTGGTGGGCGCTTTTGTGGATTTTGCGAGGGGCGCCATGGTGATGCTGGTTGGGCGTTGTTTTGGAGCGGGTTGCTCTTCTTCTCTCTTCTGACGCTCTTCTTTTTGTGCTTTTAGCTTCTCGGCGATTTTCTCGCCCGGCAGTTGAAAGGCGGGTTTTGTGAGTGGTTTGTTTGATTTTGGTGGAGGGGGCATGCTGATCGGCCGTGACTTTGGTGCTGTGCCTTCTGCTTCTCGCTTTAGTCGCTCCTCTTTTTGCGCCTTCAGTTTTGCAACCACGTCATTGCTTGAAAGCTGGAATGTTGACTTGGTAGGAGCGCGTCCCTTTGGTGGCGGCGCAGGAGTAGGAAACGATACGCTGATCGGTCGCCGTTTTGCAGCGAGATAATCTGTCGTCGGCGCGGAGGCTGTCTTGACTTCCTTGCTAGTTGCAGTGCGAACACTGGTTGTGCGAGTTAATGAAGACTTGACCGGCTTCATACTCTTCGGCGCAGCAGAACTGGGGGCTCTGGATAGCTTTGTAGCTGTAGTCGATGATGCGTACATCGACTTTGGGCGTGTGCCTGCCGTGCTAGTAGTCTTGGAGGCCTTTGCTCTTTCGGGCGATGTCTCCTCGTTCAACCGATCGATTCTGGCTACTGAGGTGACGTTCTCCAGAGCCTCCTCAAGCGCATCGATTGCTTCAAAAGACTCCTCGAGACGCATGGGGGATTTGGAGAGGCTACGCGACGTCCGTCGACTTGAAGCCTGGCTCCTGAGAGTGGCCATGATATCTTCATTGGACTTTTGGGTTGCAAGTGACTTTGGCTCTGTTTCTGGACTGACTTCGACAGAAGGTACGGGAATGTCAGCTGTTGCTTCGGGGATTTGAGGCTCAGTCTGAGGCTCTTCCACCTGTGGCACATCTAGCGAGGCCTCTTGGGATATTTCACGTTCTGCTACGGACTCGACTACAGCCTCGTCTTGAACCTTGTCAACAACAGTTTCTGGCTCTGCAACCGTCTCTTCCTTTACATCTTCACTTTGAGTTTCTGGTGCTTTTGGATCTTCAATCTGCTCTGATATTTGAGGGGCTTCTTCCGCGGCTTTGGGTACATGTGCTGTTGACTCTGGAACTTGAGTTTCTGGTTCCTGAACTGCAGAAGCGGCATGTTGCGCTTTCTTCATTTCCTCTTCCTGCATGGCCAATTGGCGGCGAGTCAGGCGTACGGGTTTAGTTGGGATCACTGGTCGTTGGACCTGGGTAGAGACCTCTGCAACTTCAGAAGGATTCGCTGACGAGTCGACGCCAGAGGCCGAAGCCAATGCAGGCTCATCCTGAACTTGCGCGAGTGATTGCGACTCTGTGGTACCATCTTCAGCGCTTGCGGGCGCCTCGACGGGCTCAGACGCTGTTTGCGCGTCTTCAGGTGTAGCTTCGGCTTGCTCCTCCTCTTCGTCCTCAGCTGCTTTGGCCTTTTTCCCTTTCTTTGCGCGGCCCTTTGCCTTGGTCTTCTTCGCAGGAGTCTTTGCAGGAGTTTTTGCAGGCAGCAGCTCTTCGTCGTCGCGGGGTTGCTCGGCTGATGCATTGGACGTTATTTCGTTCAACGGCGCGCGCTCGGTCGCGTCGGTAGCCTCATCATGGCCCTGTTGGGCGCGCGCACGAGTCACACGCATCGTCAATGGCTAATTGGGTCCAATGGGTGTTGTGTAGGTATGTATGTATATCCAAGTGTGTCTGCAGCGATGAAATGCTCGCAGTGTTGATGCTGCACAAGGGTGGAGCCGGCTGACAACAAATATCCCGGCTGAGTAAGGCGTGGAAGCACGCGCCAGTGGTTCTGCACGTGACCGCGATTGTTCACCCCTACACGCGACTGCGCCCGACACGCGGCACCCCACGATTCATAGCGCTATGTCCGGGACCAGGGGGACATCCGTGCGTAGGGCCTTCTCGGTGAACGTTTGGTTTTTTTTTAGAGGCAATACTTGAAGGAAAGGCCCCCTGATGGTCAATTGCACCGCCAGATTTCCTCAAAGCACCTGTTAGCGACATTAATCTTGGTGTCTGACTCGTCTGTACCACCGAGCAGCACGCGAACCGGCCGCATCTTTACCCCAATCGACCACTTTTCGCGTTCTCCCCTTCTGCGCTCCTCACAGCGCAGGTCTCCGAGTACCGGATGTTTGCAGCCCCGCGCTTGCGTCTCCTTGCCGTGAACAGCCGTCTCCAACCCCGCCTTAGCATGTCGTCACCTCGTTTGCGGGCAACGTCCCGTCTGAACCAGGTCTCCAAGCATTTAGATCCAAAGCCCTTCCTCGAATTGAACACTCCCTTTGCTACCGAACGCACCACTCGCCTCGAAGACGAACACGGCAATCGCATAATATCCAAGGAACCAGAAGTCAAGGCACAAGTCAAGCCAGTCGAGCCAGTCGAACCCGAAGTCAAGGAGACAAAGGAAGCCACGCCGGAACCACCGAAGAACATGTCCAGCCAACCACCACACCCTGCCCTGCTCATCCCCGGGCCTATTGAGTTTGACGATGCTGTCCTCAACTCCATGAGCCATTACAGGTATGCTGCAGTTATATATCACTAAGACGCTTGACTAAGTACATCTAGCGAGTCGCATGTTGGCCAGCCCTTTGTAAACACCTTCAGCGAAGTCCTAGGAAACCTACGCAAGCTCTTCGTCTCCACCGACCCTGCCGCGCAACCCTTTGTCATCTCCGGCTCCGGTACACTCGGATGGGATCAAGTCGCCGCCAACCTGGTCGAGCCCGGCGATGAGGTTCTCGTCCTACACACTGGCTACTTTGCCGACTCGTTTGCCGACTGCTTCGAGACATATGGTGTCAAGGCCACACAACTCAAGGCGCCCATTGGCGACCGGCCACAACTCGACGAGGTCGAAGCGGCGCTGAAGGAGAAGGAGTACAAGATCCTCACTGTTACCCATGTGGATACATCAACTGGTGTGCTGAGCGAGATCAAGGCACTCAGTGAGCTCGTCCACCGAGTGAGCCCCGAGACGCTGGTCGTAGTAGACGGTGTCTGCAGTGTTGGCTCTGAAGAGATCCGCTTCGACGAATGGAAGCTCGATGCCGTTCTCACAGCCTCGCAAAAGGGTATTGGCTGCCCAGCTGGTTTGAGCATCATGATGGTGTCTGGTCGCGCAATCGAAAGGTTCAAGGCAAGAAAGACACGGCCAACTTCGTACTTTGGTTCATGGAAGAACTGGCTACCAAGTAAGCAACAATTATTCACTCGAATACTCACAGCATCATGCTAACGTGATTCTAGTCATGCAAAACTACGAAGCTAAGAAGCCATCTTACTTTGCGACTCCCTCGCCACAACTCATCCACGCCCTTGACACCGCCCTCAAGCAAATCCTCGCGAGACCCATTGAAGACTACTGGGCTGCCCACAAGGCTGCGTCACAAAAGGTCAAAAAGGCCGTTGAGGACCTGGGCCTCAAGCAATTGGCTTCTAAGCCAGAGAACCAGGCTACTGGTATGACCGCCATCTACCTTCCTGAGGGTATGACACCTCCTCAAGTGCTCCCCAACCTCCTGAAGAAGGGTGTCATCTTTGCCGGTGGTCTGCACAAGGAGATTGCGACCAAGTACATCCGATTTGGTCACATGGGTGTTAGCGTAACAGATCCCAACCGTCCAGATATCACCAAGGCTATTGAAAGCTTGAAGGAGGGTCTGTTCGAGGCTGGCTACAAGGCTTAATTCAATGTGCAGAATGATTACACATTGAAGTTTATACGTATATGAAAATTGAAAATGCCAGGATACAAATGAAGAAAACTTTGTCATATTATCTACAAGCAATTCTAGTATACAGTGATGATGCCTTTTGTTTCGTGACTATCTCTAGTTCCTTTTGCATATGTTTCCAACTGACAGCAAAGCACGACTCCATCTGCTGGATTCGCCACCATCCTAGAATACCCTACTAATCCCCCCGACCCATTGAGTAATCGAGTCTATTAACCTCATCTAAAACTGACCCACTTAGTGCTGCCTAGGAGCAAGCATCCCATATGAAAACGGACATGCTCAACCACTTTAAGTCGCAACTAGAAAGTCAAGCTATGAACACTCAATGGTAAATGTCCAGGCGTGGGAAAGTAGATCGGAAAAGACTGTGTTGAATAATGATGGCGGAAGTGGGGGAAGAAGATAGTCTATCGTTTACCCTTGAGCTGGACAGGTGAATGTACATCTCACTTTTGTTGTATACACTTTTTGAAGAGAGAGAGAGAGAGAGACTCCTCTCTGATCATTGATACCTGAGAAAAACTCCCATGTCGTCTACTTTCCATCTATAATATCGCAATATTATAATGTATCAAAACGAGCAAAGATATTAAACACCTCCTTTGTGTCCGCCCACTGGCGTGTCATAGGTGTTTGCGGTTGTTGGTACGCAGTAGATTAGGTTGATGGGGAAAGAGGGTGTACGGTTTCGTTTGAAGAGGGACCAGGTGGCGGCTGTTGCTACGGTTGTTTCACTGGGGATTATTGTTGCTGTACTGAGGCTTTTTTTCTTTGGGGATGGAGAAGAAAGAGTAGGAGTAGGATGATTGTGCTGTTGGGCTCGGGTAATGAGAAAGAGGGAAGTATATCTAAACCTAGTGATATGGTGTAACATCCTGTTTGCTAAGATAGTGCTGTATTGTTTGTCGTGAGAACTTTCCCCTCCCCCCCCTTCTTTCTCTACGTATACGAGATACCGAAATGGAATATTGAAATGAATGCTATACGGGCTGAGCGTCACCACTTCATCACTTCTCGCAGCGCATAACTAGGCACTGATAGTGAAGGAAGAGTCGAAGCGCCGGAGCTAGGTGTTATGGCGAGAATATCGCGGAAAAGCATTGCGCTGGTGTTGATTGATAGCACGCCTATTATTTAGGATATTTGGGGGAGGGGGTGTATATTCTGTCCAGATGTGGTGCTGGACAGAGGTAGATGGATGGATTTTGATACCCACGTACACATATAGTTAGCTTAGTTTCTTAGCACTGGTGTTTGAGTTTAATAAAGTCATTGTGTTATGCCTAGTTGACCTCTTCTTAGACTTGCTAGGTGTGGAGATGTCATTAGTTACGTTTGCTCTTTATCAGAGCAGCCTAACTTCATAGTCTTCTATGAGTAGTCATTCAAAGTCTGCTATGTGAGCCTTGCAAATATCTAGCGTCGATATGAAATCTCTCTAAAATGCTGACGCTGAAGACTCATATTGATGCTTTGGCTCGCTGTTCTAGATGTGATGATCTTGTTCTCAACTCATGGTACTTGAAAGAACAGAAGGATGCTCGTGGCCGATGGCTTTGAGTGCAGTGTTTTTGACTAGTATGGAAATTCTGTGAAATATTGAGTCATCACTTTATTGAAGCAATTATATCAAGGCATGTATAGAGCCATTCAGTAGCAAGGAGTTTCTGAATACGCTGATATCAACCCCAACGCATAACAAGGGGCTTCCCAAACTGAGTGTTGTCAAAGAGAAATTAAGAGTAGCCAAAGTAGGAGATATATTGTTCTAGAAATTCCAAAGCGAAACGTCGAAAGAGAAGGAAATATTCACGTTTGGATTAAGTAACGTAAGTGTTTAGCTTGAGTGAACTCCGTGTTCAGCTCAAGCACGAGTACGACTTGTCATGATATGCAAAGTCCCCTTCCAAATACCCTACGCATGACCAACCAAACATCCCCATTTATGTTTTACGAGACCGCATCTCTCTGCATCCTTCCGCCCGAGGATCGCATCGTAGCAAGGGTTTTCCGTCGAGGTGACCCAGAACCGTGTGGTTTGCATCCGTCTATTATTTTTCTCAAGACACCAAGTAAGATCCACGTATCCTACTACTTTTTCGCCACGGTCGTACGTATGTACGTATGAATCCATTTTTTCGTCTATCGGCTGTACTCGCGCTTGCAGCACCTCTGCTACGAGTTGCTGAGATATAATGTTATAATCGATTCTCGGGTCGCATGTGAGCACAGCCCGATTCCAGGTATCTTTCTCATTTCCGCGCCGACTGCATATTTCGATTCGAGTCGCTTGATACAATCCTAGTCGTCTCTGAAATGTGTCAATAGTGGTTTCAAATGTGGAAGAGTAGCATACTACAAACGAGAATAAGCTCAAAATTTCGCATGTCCAAAGATTCATGATTTTGTTCGGTTCACGTACAGTGCGTAAAATAAGATGGTGGATGTGCTGGTAGTGGATATTGTTATGTTGGGTTAGACATTCGTTAAAGTTGAAAGAGTTCGCGACAGTGTAGAATGGAGGACCAGGTCTCTTATTAAAGGGACCAATAGGTAACCTGATTGCTGATGTAGGCAGAACGAGTCACTACCGTCCAAGTCGATGTCTATATCATGATCCATGCACCATTTGCCGCTTACAACCCCCCTTGTATTGCGAGTCACGTCCAATGAGTAAACAGTAGAGGCTGTGCCCTTGCCATAAAGTTGTTAGCGGGGCGAATACATGTTGGTATTGTGGCGTCATAGCTGAGAAGAAGGCAACCTACACCTGGCTCAGCCGTGTGACATGTGTGACAAGGCTGGATCCGTAGGGTGGCTTATGGTCATCGATTGAGCATGAACGAGGCTTAGCTACGAGGGCGCAGTCCGCGTGCGATATCAGTCACTATTGAGCAAATATTGTTGCCTTCAACTAGGCAGTCTTGGAATCCAAGGGTCAAAGAAGGGCGCTGTGGGACGCACTTTTTGAATGATGCGGCGGGGAGATGCAAGTTAGTATGGCTGCAGGTGGGGACGGTTAGTCGCCTACGTAGCGCCGGAACACGGGTGCAATACTAGTACTCGCAGCTGGCAGTCTGCAGCCACCCAATGAAACCTTCACATACACATGGACTTACATCAGGACCAAGACACTACCATTTCCAAATTTGTTTCACCGGGATTCACAGTTGCTTGACGTTCCGAGGTAGCCCGGAAGTCAGCGCCTCGACTTGCTGTTAGGCATCACCATCACAGACAGGGACAAACAACGTCTGGTATAGAACGCCCACGGAACCTGTCATTTTCTACGTATGAGAATTATGGCCTTGTTGATAAAATGACACAGTGTCGATGAATGTTACACAAGTAGCTCGGTATGAGGTACAACGTACCTCGCGGCTTGTTGAACAGACTCAGCCTGCTTCACAAGGCAACCACATGCAGAAGAAGGCCATTCTGCAGGACCCCCAGGACTAGCGATAGCTCTTCCATGGCAGGCTATATACTGTGGCTAAGATATATGGGTGCCATGGAAATCCAGCCTGTCGTCGCAAAGATATTGATTTTTTGACATAAAACCAGAAGCATGAGTGCATCACATGACCCGCTACAGGAGTATGTCGTCGGGTACCCGAAGTTAGCTGCAAAAATGGAGAGACTCCCCGAGCTCTCTATGTTTCGCAGATTCGGTGCTCTGAACGCCCAGAACCTACTCTACATGCAAGCTGAACTTGCGTACCTAGAGAGAAAACTGCGGGAGCGCCAGCAACTTGATGCCAACGACCCGTCCGGCAAGAGATCACCCTACGCGCTGAACTGGTTCTGGCTCAAGGATTCCGAAGGCACTGATGCTGGAGAGCAGCAGGAACTCATTTTGCGAATCAGACAAGTGCTCAAAGAATACAGTATGCTTCGAAATCTCTCAAAGAATAGTGTGAGTTATACTGATACCGACAGATGATGCCCTAATCCAACAAGCATCAATCCTCCAATACCCCAAACCCGGCTCTTGGGACCTCCACCACATGCAAGACTACCTTCAAACCCCCGAAATGGGTTCCCTCGCTCTAACCGGCGACGACGCAACCATTTGGGGCTCCGTCCACGACCGCGACTCCCAAAAGCCCGATCTAATTACTCTATGTCCGCGGGAGAAGAAGGACGCGTTCTCTGCGTGGGCAGCAGAAAGCACAATCGTCAACCTCTTCCGATGCGGTTGCACACGCTTCATGAAGCCCTCGCGTGTCCATGGAGTTGTGGGATATGAAGACAGTACGATTTACCGTATTACATACTGGATTACAAGTATCCTTGCTTCGCTGATCCCGATTGCGTCGATTGTAGTGCTGTATCTTGTTCAGTCCATGTCGGCTAGGTTGGGCATCATTGCGGGTTTTAACGTATTGGTGTCGATTTGTTTGATGGCCTTGACGGGAGCGAGGAGAGCGGATGTATTTGCTATTACTGCTGCGTAAGTCCTTTTCCTATATGTCACCGTTGATAACTCTGGTTCGTCTAACGAAAGCTCAGGTTTGCGGCTGTTCAAGTCGTTTTTGTAGGGTCAGATCAAGTCAAGGGAGATTGATGCGATTAGTAGTAGAAGAAAGGTGTAAAGTGTAGTGATGCAGACAACGTCATAAAGTGTAGTATTACTATGTAGATTGGCAGTTCAATGCAAATAATGTTACAGTCGTAGCTAAATTCAATCGCTCGCTTCCCACCTGCTCCCAGCTGAAATGCAATGCAAGAATGAAACCGGCTAAATCCAAACTCCCGCCAATGATTCTGTCCACATAACGCCATCAATATTGGTACATGCAGCGTACCGGAGGGGAATGGCTGCTGCATGGATCCACTCGTCAAGCCCGAGTTGGGTGGGGGGAGCGCCTTTGGTCGCTCGCCAGGCAGCTTATTAGATGGCGCTCGCCCCCCACCATGGAGTACCCTCAGCTAGAGTCTGAGAGCAATCCCGACGCTTGATCCTCTCCCCTCTCCCTTGTTGTAGTATTCCGTAGCGTGAATGCTGTTCGGTGCTCTCAGCAACGACTGAAAGACGTATTTTCAACAGCAGCCCAGTGTAATAAAGTCGGTAACTCCTTTGATAGTTGAATAATCGACATTCGGGTATCGCTAGGTGGCTTTGGCCTCGAGTGCCTAACTAGGTCAGTACTATATTCTTGGTATAGTCACAACAGCGACATACCTTCTCCTCTTCACGCTTCCGCATATCCTCTTCTGCCTTCTTTCTGCGCTCATCTGCTTCTTGCTGCTTCTTGGTAGTCGTACTAGCTGCTGTATCGGAGTTAGCAATCAAGCGTCCACAGCGCGAGTTTTGCAAACTTACAGTCGACGCGAATGGGGACTGGACGGAATGCACCAAAGAAGCTGCGATTTGTCTGTAACAGTCCAAGATCGTTGATGGTGGTGCGCCCGATGATGAGGTCGAACGTCTGCAGATCAACGATCTTGAAGGTGCAGATTTCATAGCGTGGTCGGAAGTTCAAGCCCTTTAGGAGACGCTTTGGAACACCAGCCAGGTACCACGGGCGCTTTGGAGCGCCAATCGGGTACCATCTTCCTTGGACCTCACCCAGACATTTGATATTGGTATTGTTCATCTGGGTGATTTGGGTATCGTCTGTGGACGGCTGCCACTCGAAGCCGATTTCCTTGAGGAACTTGGTGGTGACCAGGTTGTGCTCGCATTGTGTGTCGAACATAGCCACTCCATGGGTTGGTACAGACCAACGTTCTTCCCCCCCATTTCTCATGGTTATATCGAGCCTTCGCTCATATGTTTCTTCCTTTTTGGGGGATGTGAAGATTTGAGAGACTTTGCGAGGGATCGAAGGGGTTTTGGTCTTGGTGAAAAAGAACATGGGCCGAAGGCCCCTGAGGTTTATCATGACTCTAACCTTGTTCACAATACTCGAGGTATGTAGGAAGACGAGTAAGTTATTTGGAGATTGGTCTTGAGTGCAATATAGTATTCGGACAAACTACTAGATTCAGGTGTGGCAATCACTTAAATAATACCCCCAAAATGTGTCAAAGGACGGAGAAGAGGCAAAGAGGCGAGAATCACGACAGCCGTAGCTTCTGGGAATATTAGTCTAGTATAGCAATGTCTGAGAGGTAGGCTGTGTCAAAAACTCCAATGAGGCTTGAAGGGCAGATCAGGTTGCCTACTATCTGTGCAACGACGCCGTTAGCGGGATATCTGCACCAGGCATACTAGCGGACTGCGATCTTATGGCCCTAACCTTGTCACTGTGGAGTAAAGCTGGTGTTACACAATACTTTCTGTGTATAATGATTTGTTCCGGGTAGCATAGTCCGCTGCATGGTTCATAGAACACTGATCCCATCGTTGCGGCCACGGTTTCAAGACTTCCATTCAAGGAATCAATCTCTGGGAGATGCCTGGCCAATATTTGGCGGGGCTGTGGGTAGCATTGTATCTGAGGATGTGACTATGTGTGCGAATGATATCTTGTCTTGGCGTACCAGCTGAGTACAAGCAGACACAGCCCAACTTGAATTCATTTGCCTGAACGCCCTTTTAATCCAGGCGCCACAACGATAAGGCAGGAGGCCGTTCGCTTCCGTTTATCAAAAGCAAAGTCCCATGACTACATCTTGTGCATGAAGTGACCGGTACAGAGGGAATTTCTCTGTGGCGCAGAGACGTAGTGGCTTGGTAGTAGGTTACACAACCAGCGATACGATCCTGAGGCTCAAGTCGGTTGATGGCGGTGGTCAGTAAGTGTGCTGCACATTTACATGCTGCTACCAGTGCTTTGAGGCGCAGTGTAGACAGTAGCCACAAGGATACCCACGCGTTCACTTGGCCCCCACGGGACGTAGTACGTCATTTGACAGAAGCTTCGGACAACATATAGTCATCATGTTTTGAGCCTCATTCTTTGTCGAAGAGTGTTTTCTTAGAATCGGGGATTTTCTTCTATCATACATGTCCTCACAGTTGGCACTTTCGAGTAAAAAGAAACGTATACTTATTCAAAGTTACTTGTAGTAGGGGTAGCCACGAATAGTTGCTATCCACCAACCCCACCAAGCACATATACCCTAAACGCTGCATCCGTAATTCACACGATCACGTGCCGACACTTCATCTTTGAACAGCACAAGACCTCAGCCTATCAAATGCTGAATGCCATTTCTAAACCCATCTTCATCATGCCAAAAACCTTTATCTCTTCACAGCAGTGGAAACGTAGTATCATAGACGTGTAGCGAACAAGACAGGTTAACGAATACCCATTTCTACACATGGCATATGAACAAGACTCAAAAACTGGAGCCGAGGATATAACTAAATTACGAAGTTACAAATACCAGAAAACAATAATAGCAAACCTACTCACGCATTCTTCAAGCACATGTATCACAAATCTCGATTATTCATTGTTCCAGCTAGAAAAAACACACCAACAAAACACACATTTTCACTCAACAGAAACTCTTTCAATTACTCGGAAAAACGTCTCATATCGCACGAAGTTCTTCAAGCAGCAGCGGGAGCATCAACTTTAGCTGCTGAATCCGCAACCTCATCCGCTGTCTCCGCAACCTTCTTCTCTTCCTCCTTCTCCTTTGCCTCGACCTCCTCTTTCGCCGGCACCTTCTCCGACTCACCCACAAGTTTCTTCACAACCTCGACCGTTGCAGCGGGTCCGCCAGGCTCAGCCGCCAACACCTTACCCTGCTTATCAACAACAAAGACACCGCGAGTCGTACCCTTTGGCGCCTTCTTGAACCCAATGGCCGAGATGAGAGTCTGCGCGGGGTCGCACAGCAGCGAGTACGGCAGCTTCTGCTTGGTCTTGAAGGTGGTGTTTGCCTTGGGGCTATCGGATGAGAGACCGTAGATGGAGAGGCCGGTTGCGGTTAGAGGCGTGTAGGAGTCGCGGAAGAGACAGACTTGGGTTGTGCCTATGCCGAAAGAAACGGTCGTGTCAGTGAAACTGATCCATATGCAATGGGAGTGGGTGGGAGACGCGACTTACATCCCGGAGTCGAGGCTTTGGGGTACGTGAATAGGACTACGCCGGCCTTGCTTTCTTCTACGAGCTTCGCGAGCGACGTCTTGGTGCCATCGTTGGTTTCGATTTCGCCGCCGAATGAAGCGAGGTCAATTGTGTCGCCGACTTTGGGCGCGCCGGTGGACTTAGCAGTCGAGGCGCCATTAGTCTTGCTTACAACGGCTTCCTTGACGGCTTCGACCTTCTCAACGACCGCGTCTTGGACCTTTTCGACGACAGTCTTGTCGCTGTCGGCTTTCTTGGCCTTTGCGGGTGCCTTTTTCTTTGCAGGTGGTGCTGGCGCTGGGGCCACGGCCTTGCGCTTCCGGAGCTCGACTGGCATGTTGGGGAAAAGGGTAGCAAGCTGGGTCGCGGTCGCGTTAATGTCGCGAGGGGGTGTCGAATGCGATTAGGGGAAGAGCTGGGTAGCGGAAAGCTCGGGGATGAGTGATAGAGGAGGTGGGAGTCAAGGTAGGACAATTGCTAAAGGCTATGTGTACGAACAAGCAACCTGTAGTACCACCGTCGCAGAATCAACAATGGCGCGATCCGCAGTCCAGAGTCGTCGCTGTGAATCAGTAGGTGCTTATCAGCAGCAGAGCAAGGAGGTGTGTCCCATGGTGATCTGACGCCCAAGGCCAGGTCGTCCAGCCTCCTCACTTGGCACTCCCGTCCATATTGACATTAGCCAGATTACATGAGCCTGCGTCTGTCCTTCGGAAGGAGCTTATTTCGGACGGGCGCTGGGGTAGGGAGGCGCTTATTATTGGCTGGTAAGGTGAGGAGTCGAGGTGCGCGCCGCTGCACTGTAACGCACCGAAGCATGTCCCTGGTTGCGTTATCGCGCGGCTCCCCGTTTCCACCACCACCACCTCAATATTAATGCATTGGAACTTGACATGTTGATAACATTTTGCGCATGCATATTTGACACGCGCGACTTTTACGCCTATGTATACATATGCCAGCCAGAATATTTACATGGTAGGATCGGGCCTTGGCCAACCCTGTCCCAAAGGAGAAGCGCCCTTTCTCTCTCCAACCCCGAATAGCAACCAACACGGTCAGCCGTCGTCTGTGCCTCCCGCTACCCAACTGACGGGATGCCAATTGTTCTCACAAGAAAACACCTTGCCACCGGAACCATCATGCAAGGCCCACCCAGACGACCACATGCCCAGGCCAAACTGCAACACAGGGTCAGCCAGGCCGCCTCGACCAACAGGGAAGAAAATCGCTTACAATGGCCATCCCCAGCAACACTATCGAGCAATTCAGGACTGTAAACAATGTCTGCCGCTTCGACGAGAATAGTCTTCCGTTGACTTTATTGTGCCACAGCCACAGCAGTGGGGGAAAAGCATCTGTGCGTGTCAGACCACTGGCCGAGTACACATCGTCACTTCGCAAAAGAAAGTTTCACAAGAACTTACAGCTGAACCAGCTCCCGAAGAGCGCGCCGATCAAACCCAGCAGCAAATTGAAGTTTGGAATCGCCTCAGCCAAAACCCAACTTGCTAGCCATGCCCCAGAGCATATCCCCCACCAACTGCCTAGACTTCTCCAGCTGTTGGTGTGCACTTCGTTTGTCCCCTTCCATATCCTAAGGTAGACATATTTGGTAGCTACTGAGCCATTGACAACACCGGCGACAATAATAGTCGGGAGTGCTATGCCAAAACAAATCTTGCTGACCAATGGAGACGCAGAACCCAAGGCGGGCGAGGACACAAGGGGTCCAGCATAGTAGTATATGACCGCTGAGATAAGGAGATAAAACGTCACTGCAATCCCCTGCTCAAAGAAGAGAGCTTTGCGGAAGTCGCGCGGGTCCTTGAGTTCGGATGCAAAGGAAAAGAAGGCAACATGTCCAGCTACAGTGCGTCAGTGGTAATGCGCATCATGAAGCGGGATTGATGTACTTACTATAGGCTAACACAATGTTCATGACAGGGGCCAGACCTTTCACCAGTGGTACATCAGGTCTTATGGCCACCATGTGGTTCATATCTGGCTTTTGGATGCTGATGGCGATCATGGTTATCGTGACACCTACGATTACCGAAACGCAAGCTGTAGTACAGTGAGCAGGACATGCGACATGCTATCTATGTCTTGACTCACAGAAGATGCTAAAGTAGCTGATATTCTTGAACGTCCTCGGCAGCCCGAGTAGGAAAGAAACAACCAGTCCAATCACACTGAAGATGATTGTGCAGGCTCCATGGTCAGTCATTGCATTCATGGCAACCGCAAACGTCAGGATATGCGCGCCCATTATGAACACCAACACCAAAACTTGTCCAACGGCAATTACTTCACGGGCGATGGGCCCACTCATCAGTTGCCCGCAGTCGGCATACGATTGCACAGATGGGTGCGTCAGTTTGAATTCACCAATCAGGTATCCTGTGTATGTGGCGATGACCCCAAGTAAGCATATGCAGAGCATGCCTGGGACGATACCCAGGATCGCTAGGGCTTGGGGGAGTGCAAGGACACCGAGGGAAACATTTTCAGCCAGCATTACTTGAAACTGTCAGAGCGGGGTAACGCAGAGAGAGTTGTAGCTTACGAATGCCCGTGTTCCTAAACGTTCACGTCAGCAAGATGTGGAATGAAGGATGGCATGTCAAGCCGTGTTAAGAAACCCCGAACAGACGCGTCACTTGGGGCTTCGCGTGGGTTGAGAAGAGCTCGAATACTCACCACCACGAACATGTCTTGTATTGGATTTCGGCGCCTTCTTCATTACCGAATACGTCGTCCTCTCTAGCTGGCGCGCTGTGTCTCTCGATATCTGGTGGTGGCGACAATGGTTCCGGCAAGGAATGCTCTTGAACTACAGTGGTCTGTTTGACAGTCTGAGCTGCTGTTCGGTTGAAGGAGAGACGATGAGCCGAAGCCGGCACTTTAAGCTTAGCCATTGTCGACGAGAGAAGAGTCGCGACTACGCGGGGCGTGCAATTGGAAAGTAAAGCTGATATTCGTGTCAAAAGCTCTTTCTTTGTACATGAGAATAGTGACTACAGGACTCGATACCTGCCCTCTCATGCTAACTTTGGTCGAAGATATGGAAATCAGAATTGCATGTTCCGGTACCGGCGCAATCATGTGCCTCTGAATGCTTCATAAGGACGACAGGACATGACGTTGATATCCAATACCGGAATGGGTCAACCAAGCATACCATTGGAATTTCGTACTGCGTAGAACTCTTTGGGTCAAGGGTGTTTGTAGGGTACCATGGAAACATTGAGGTATAAAGATAAAGCCAACAAGATAAGAGACTTGGAGAACCACTAGTTATACCGTGTATTTTGAGGGGTATCATCAACGGCAAGAAGCCACGAGACTAATTGTAAATCAGGGCCCTTCGTTGTGTGTAACTGCTCACACTTGTTGCTGACAATGATATCGACTTACCCACGCGAAGAGATCACATAATTTACACAGCTTTCATGTCAGCATATCGGGGTACAAGATATATCTACCTGCCCCAATTGATGTGCGAAATATGACACTATACGTTCCAAAGACGATGCATTCGCTCTCATATTGTGCATGTTGGGATAGGCATAAAAAGGCTGAGTCAGAGCATGTTTGTTCTGATTTTATTTGTCAACTCTATCCAACGCTACATCCTGAGCGATTTGAATGTAATTTGAACGGGGTTGCGTATGCATTGAAAGTGTGGGGTGGAATATTCCATTGGAACCACCGACGTCATCACGTGTGTTCGCGGAGCAAGGGCGACTCGGGGGTCAGCTTCATTTATGCCATTACTCCTGCACGCACACCCTCCATGGAAGCTGCTCTCAATAACCGATTCATAACCCCTCTTTCCAACTCTCATCTCCCAATTATAGGGTCTCCCTCCCTGAGCATCTATCGAGGACTCCGAGGAGCGCAATGCCGTACCCGATTCATCCGTCGACATCAGCGACGCGCAAGCGCAATTTCACGACCTACGCAGACAATGGTGCCCCCGCAGTGCATCGGTATGCACCCACGGCATCTGGTAGCCGCGAAATTGAAGTAATCGACCTTACACAAGACTCGCCCAAGAAGGCACCTCCTCCGAAGAAGAGCAAGTGTGACCCTGACGCGCCTGTTCAGGAGAAGCGGGCCAGGATATTTCGTAAAAGGGCGCCACAGAGCTACCTGGATGTAAGAGAACGGGCATTTACACAGCGCTTGACGGTACTCTCGCGCGAGCGCTGCGGGACTGACGATGTGCCTGAGGAGAAGGTTCTCATCGCAGGCTCGACAGGCAACGTGTATACAGTCTCGATTGGACTCGAACCCTCATGCGACTGTCCGCATGCCAGAAAGGGCAATCAATGCAAACACGTTGTGTATGTCATGCTAAGAGTGTTGAAGGCGCGAGAAGAGATTGCATATCAGCTAGCTCTTGTTAGCTCCGAGTTGCGCGAGGTCATGAGGAATGCGCCACCAATCCCCGGCACTGAGACGGAGAAGCAGAGCGAAGACGGCAATCGCAAACCCATTGAGGGCGAATGTCCCATTTGCTACGACGACCTGGATGCCAAGGAAGATATTGTGTACTGCAAGACGAGCTGCGGAAATAATATACACAAGGTTTGCATGCAGAACTGGGTGGCTGCAGCTAGAAACAATGCGACGTGCCCGTACTGCCGTGCTAAGTGGGATACAGACGCGGTGTTGGCAAGCAAAGTCGGCAATATAAAAACTAGTGGGTTGCAAAGGAACGAGGAAGGTTACATCAATGTCGCTTCTCAGCTGGGCTTGTCTGGTGACAGAGACTACTCGACGTACTATGGTGGGCGACGGCGTCTTGGACATCATTTTTATCGTTACTAGGCTCAATGTTGAGGTCAGGAAAGTGCATTTTGTGTTGTCCAGGTGGGACTTGCATGTTTGGCGTTATGGATATACCCGGTGGAGTTTTGGAGGATGGAGTATCCTTTCACACTGTTGACTTGCTATCGTTGTGCTGTGAATTGGCCAAGTGCATAGTTGCACTGATGAGAAGAAAGTCGTCACTACTTGACCCATCTCACTGTACCAATGCACACCACTGAAGCATCTCAACACCACATCTCCGGCCCATGACTTTTACAGCCCGCACGCACCCAACACATTACCTAGCAATGACCCATGAGCGGATCCCTTCAAAACACGCCAGATCCGCACCGCCTAAAAGGAAAATAACGAGTCACAGGTCGCGCCAAACATGTTTGCAGATCCCCTTAGTCCATCTACTTAGCCTGTGCTTGAAAAATAAAAAAGCGCATCACGGTGGGTATCCACAAACTTCCGAAATGATAGTCAAAGTGTTAAAAAAAAGGTGATGACGAATGCGTGAAATCTGATTTTGGGCAATGGGCATCGCAAACTTTGTGCTCACTCGGAAATGACGCTCGCCGGCAAACTAGGGAGCGGAGCATGGCGAGAAGATATCGGTAGTTTGCACCAAGTACCTTTGAATCCAACTTGTTCTACACATCCAAGATATCTCAAAAGAGTAACGAAAAAAAAACAGAGAAATTACTCAATCCTGTGATACTCATACTCTGCGCCACACCTCGTCTTCAAAACAAGGCTCCAAACCTTCTTCAGCCCTGTGTAAGTAAAAGTACTCACCTACTAGAACAACGCGGGAACAAAACGCACGGGACCCCCCTTCCAAACTCTCTTTCTTCTTCTTTCCTTTCCGCGCATAATAACTTAACATGCGCCCCAAAAAGATGCATTGACACCAAGTGCGCCCCCCCTCCCCACTCCCGATAAACTTTCCACGCATCGCCGCGGGGCGGGAGCGGCGTAAGAAACGCCGTTTACTAAGTCCTTTATACGAGAGAGTGAAAAGAAGGGTATAGCATAATCTCGTATTAGAACATGATACGAAGGGCGGGAAAACGCCTCAAACGGATGTTATCTGTGTGTGTGTGTGTGTGTGGGGATGATACGAATGGCGCATTTTCGAAATGTGTAAGCAAGTAATACGATTGTACCTACATGGCGATAGCCATAGGCGGCGTGTGGGGATGATGACGATGCAATTGAGAAGAGAATAGGAAAATGTGATGATATCGAATGAAAAGGCACCATGTGCGCACGCACACACATACACGTAGGCGCGGGATAAAAGTAATCGAGACTAATCGATAATAAGGAAATTAATCACATCATTAGCCCCCTCCTTCCCCCCCCCCTTTCCCCCCAATCGACAACAAAAGGCGCTTTTTGTTTAATCCCGGGATATCACACCAACATAACCGCGCGGCCAACGCACTCAATTATCGCCCAATGGCAAATCAAACAACAATGTCACTCACCCACACCCACACACACACACACACACACATATATATATCAGCGATCTCGGGATCCGAAAGCAAAAATTCGCCCCCCCCCAAAGAAATCTCTTAAATAAAGATAAACAGGAGCAAAAGACAAACCAATGCCAACGCCAGCTCTTCTCAGTAGAAGAATCCAACAAGGATAATTAATCCCTGCACCAATATACCTCGCACGAGCCACATAAATGTCACCGAGTGGATACTGACAGGGATGTGCATATGCAGGTACAGTCAAACAAGGGTCATGCGGCAGTGGCAGGGAGATTTGAAAGAACAGGGTTGCATCGGGGAAGGGGGGGGGCGCAGTCCCACTGTATTTTGCTCAACGGCGATTGGATTGGAGGGTGTTTGCCAATGGCGTAAGATGAGCAAGTGGCAGTGGCGGCGGGGCGCCTTTGTTTCGACTACGTGACGCAATGGGATTTAGTATAATTGGATGAGCATGGAATTAGTAAGAGTCACGTGAGAAGGAGTTGGCTAATCAAACATCACGAAAGAGTCACTCAGAATTGAGAAAGAAGAGGTGGAGTAAAAAAAGAGGATTTCAAAAATCGAAGAAAGATGCTAGACTGAATAAATGCAAGTAAACCGCCATCCCCGATGGTCTTTTCAAAACAAAGTCCAAGGTACTCAACATAGGAAAAAGAGGTTGGTTGGAACAAGAAGTCATGAGACATGTCGCTCATCGCCCATTCTTTGCACCAGAGACCCAAGCGCGACAAACACGAGTAAGATGCGAACAGTGGGATAGAGGTGTATCAACGGGAAGGGATATATTGTCCATGTAATACAAACAAAACTGCTCTGGGAACCTACACTTCTATGTTTTTCCCAACCTCAATTGTAACCCACATGATCGCGTCTGGCCCTTGCCTGAGGAGACTTGGCCCAATGGGCTCAGTGGACAGGCAAGAAAATGGGCCAAGTGACCCTATACACATGCGATGCAAACAAAACACGAGGCTACTCTACGAGTAGAGAGCTTCAGCGCTTAGTAGGTGCCGTAGCTTCCGTAGCTGCCGCTGCCGTAGTTGCCGCCAGCAGGGCTGGAGGTGGCTGGCTCAGGGACAGCGGGGGTGGGGGTGGCAGCAGGGTAGCCAGCGCCGTACTCACCGCCAGCGGGGGCGGATGGGCTTGGGGAAGCGCTGGTAGCGGCCTCGGGGACAGCTGGGGTGGAGGGCTTGCCAGCACCGTAGTTACCGCCTACAGGGTAGGCAGGCGAGGACTCAGCGGCAGCGGGGGTGGAAGGAGAGGGCTGAGCACCGTAGTTACCACCGACGGGGTAGGCGGGGGCGGAAGAGGCAGCAGCGGGGGTGCTGGGAGTGGGCTTGGAGTTCTCAGAGACGAAAGAGAAGCTGGGGAGAGAAGCGGTGGCGCTGCTGGGGACGGGAGCGGGGCCAGTGCCAACGGGGATGTAAGGCATGGTGCCGTTTCCGTAGGGAGCGGTGGGGTGAGGGGGCATGCCAGAGGTCTTGTCGGCGGGGACAAGAGGAGTGCTGGCAGGGTAGCTGGGCTCGTTGGAGTCGGGGGTAGCGACGGGGTAGTCACCACCAGCGGTAACAGTGATGGTCTCCTTGGCAGTTACGGTAACGGTAACGGGAGCGCACTCGTCACCCTCCTCACCAGCAGGGGTGGAAGGAGAGGGCTTACCCTGACCACCGGCAGGGCCAGTGGGGTAGGAGTCGGAGCCGACTGGGACATCACCAGAGGGAGTGGGCTTGACGGTGATGTACTTGGTGGAGGTGGAGGTGGAGCTGATGGTGCTGGTGATGTCCTTGTCACCGCCTGGGCCAGTGGGGTAGCCGTTACCGCCAGCTGGGCCAGTAGGGTAACCCTCACCACCGGCTGGGCCAGAGGGCTTGGTCTGGTTAGAGGGAACCTCAGGGGTTGGCTTGGCGCCGGGAACAGTGACAACAACGGTGCTGTACTGGGTGGAGGTCGAGGTGGTGGTGATCTCGGTGGTGACGGGGCGGGCAGTGGTGCCGACACCGATGGTGTAGACGAGGGTCTCGGTGTAGACGGAGGTCACCTCAGAGACGGGGTAGGTGCTGGTGACAGCAGTAGGAGTGGCCTGGGGGACCTCGCTCTGGGGGCAGACGGTGGTGCCAACGGGGACAACGCTGGTGACGAGCGAAGTGGACTTGGCAGGGCAGTCAGTGACGGTGGAAGGGCAGGCAGTCTTGGTGAAGATCTGGGTGCTGTAGATGGTGCTGGTGACCATGTCGCTGACGGGGGTGGAAGAGGCTGGGTAAGAGCCAGTTCCGGTGGGGTACATGGGGTAGCCAGTGCTGGAGGCGGCCTCTGGGACAACAGGGACGGAGGGCTTGCCAGTTCCGTAGTTGCCACCAGCGGGGTAGGAGGCAGCGGGGGTAGCGGAGGTAGCGGCCTCTGGGACTACGGGAGTGGAAGGCTTGCCAGTGCCATAGTTACCACCAGCGGGGTAGGAAGCAGCAGGAGCAGAGCTGGCGGCCTCGGGGACAGCGGGGGTGGAGGGCTTGGCGGCACCGTACTCACCACCAGCGGGAGCGGAAGGGCTGGGGGTAGCGCTGGTAGCAGCCTCGGGGACAGCTGGGGTGGAGGGCTTGCCAGCACCGTACTCACCACCAGCGGGGTAGGAAGCAGCAGGAGCAGAGCTGGCGGCCTCGGGGACAGCGGGGGTAGGAGTGGCAGCAGGGTAGCCAGCGCCGTACTCACCGCCAGCGGGGGCGGATGGGCTTGGGGAAGCGCTGGTGGCAGCTTCAGGGACAACGGGGACCGGGGAGCTGGAGGCAGGGTTGGTGGCGTTGTAGCCAGCCTGGTTCTGAGGAACAGAAGGGTAGGATCCGTAGGAGCCGTATTGCTGGCGGCGGGCAAAGCGCTGGCTACGGGCCTCAGCAGCGTCGGCAGCGGCGAGGGCGGCCAAGAAAGCGACGGTAAGCTTCATCATGATTGCGGTCTTCTAAAAAGTTCCTTGCTCTTAAACAATGAATTGGATATGGATAAGACGAAAAGGACGGGTCGGGGAACGGATTAGCAGGCGAAGAAGATAGATTGAAATCCAGGAAAGAGTGACTGGATGGTTCAAAGAATGTGACGTCCGAAGACAAGTGGGTAGCGAGTGTAGAAGACGGGTGCCTTTGGGGTAGAGAAGAAGAAAAAAGCAATCGAGGAGCGGAGGGAGGGGCAGTATATGAAGGTCGCGGGCAGTGGGTGGAGGCCGGGGGGCCAAGGATAGCAGGTGGGTGCTATGGGTCGGGAGTGGACGTGCGCTGGGCGTGCCCCTGGCGGCTGTTAATTTCGTTCAGGAACAAGCGGTGGCAGGGGCCAGTAGCGGGCGGCGCTGCCTGCGAGCAAAAGGGCAGGGGCGGCTCGCACGCAGCCACTCACAGCCGCGCCTGCCCAACGTCGAGCGTAGCAGCCGCTGGGGCGCCGAGAGCCGAGAGGACTGCCCACACCGTCTTTGCCCTGTCGCATTCGAATCCGTCCAAGTACGGCGTCCAGCGTCCAGCGCTCCTCTTTTTTTTTCCTTTCCTTCTTTTTTTACTTGCTCGCCGCGGCCCCTAGCCCTGCTGTTTCATGCCGCCAGCTTAGAGTCGAATGCCGGCCAGGCGCAGATCCTCCTTGCCGGCCATGCACTGGCGTCTATACTACTCTTATGTCACCATCTAAGCAGCTATCTGAGTATTATTCGTCCATTGATTGCACCTGCGCACATGCCGTCGTCCATGTATATCGTACGTTCTTTTGTGTCCGAGTACTCGCTTTGGCATGCAGCTCGACTACGTATGGCGATTCGGCCCATTGTCCAATTTGCCAGCACCACGCATCCACATGTACTTACTGCAGTGCCCTGGCCACGGGTGCTGCGCCACGGTGCTGCTGCCGGCAATAGCGATGCTCGACGAAGACGTGCTCGTCACCAAGCATTGTATTGTCGTGTGGCCCGGTGAACAGGCCAGCAGTGCATCGCCGGGTTGACGGCTTTGGGCAAGCGTGGGAATGGTGCGACGCGCGACCTGGGCGCACATCCTCATACAGTCACCGCGACTTCACAAGTCTGCACAAAAGAAGCCAAATGTCGATTTGCTCTCTGCTAGCATGAGTCGACGCCGCGCAATCCAGCAACCACTGCTGCGTCCGTCGCCATTGCGCCGCGTCGTCATGCGCTATGGTGCAGCAACGGCGCGCCCGCCCTAGCCACAGAGCCACAGTCCGTGGGGACTTGGCACTACTCGTATGGAGAGTACCAAGGCCACACACAAACATACAGTAGTAACTCGTAGTACACAACAGTAGTACATGGGCTTTCTGCCCCCCGGCCCTCGTGCTCACCACGATGCCTACTACTCTGACACAAACCCATCGCCGCATTGCACACACAGCCACGGACAACAGTGGGTGCCAGTCTCAGCCTGTTGCACATGGCCCGGCTTCCCCTATTGCCCTACCCACTACCCGTTTGCGATGCCCCAGGGATCAGGCTGCCATGTGCCGGGTCCAGCCTGTCCCTTGCTGTCCCCGCTGTCCCTGCTGCTCTTCCCTCCCAGTGCGCAGCCGGTTCTCGACTCTCCGCCAACTCCCTCCTCCATTGCTCGGAAATGAGGCCTACCGCGCCCAGTTTCCACTCCGTTTCCGGTCGGTGGCTCCAAGATGCTGCTCCTCCTCACTGGCTGGCCTGCCGCGGCGCTATGCTCTCTTGTCCCGCTCCCGATCTGTGGGAAATAAATGAGGCAATATTGCAGATGAGCAACACGAGCATTTCGATATTCTAGCCTGTCCATCGCCACTGCTGCTGCTGTTGTTGTTGCCCCACGTCGCTAAACAACAGCATTGAGCTGGCATGCTATTTTGGTTCTCATGCTGTTCTGGAAAAAAACGCTCGAGCCAAGGCCCAACGTCGCTTCCCTTTCTCCCCAAACCCCCAAACCCCCAAACTGCCACGGTCAAACACTTACCCCTCCTTCTCTTTCCTTCTTCTCTCCTCATACTCTCCTTACCCCGCACACCCTTACCCATAATATTCACTCGCTGACGTACTATACCCTCGTCTGCATCAAAACCCCCATACCAAGCCTTTCCTTCTTATCAAACTTGTCACTAGTCTCCCAAATCTGCTACAGCGGTTCGCCCCGCCCTTCGAAACAGAGGCCTGAGACTTGCTTGAAACGAAACATTAGGCCATCACGATATCGAGCGCCCTACATTTCTCTGACGCTCTTCCGCTCTCAAAGACGTCACTTGTCAACGCCCCCATTGGTCGGCCAAGACGTTTTTGATCAAACTGGCACAGGCAGCTGCAGTACTGTCACTATCATGCATCCATCTTGCCTTACCATCCCAAGACCACACCACCTCCAATTGGCTCGGTCCAAAGTTTCGTTTTCTATACCTGCGTACTATGTAGAGTAGTCACTGGTATCTTGATTCTAGACCTGGCGTCGCGCTACTATCGATAGCTGCTGGAGTCCGCTGTACTCCCGCTGCATCCAACGCTTGTTTCGCATCCCGTCCGTGTCACCACACAACAAAGTATGCTTGATTTTTTGACTCTGCTCGCGTTGACGCAATGCGACGGGCACTGACGTGAAACAACGGTCTGAACCGTTGACGTGACGTACATCTGACTTCCGACGTTTGTCGGCGGTGCTTTTGCAAAATGCTTTTCGTCTTCAAGGTGCTTACTTTTTCGTATTCCGCGGGCTGATGGGAAAGTATATATGCACTACAGGTAGCCGTGAGATTCTTCAAGAGCTGCTCATGGCTACATGGTTCAATGACTTGGTTCAGTAGCACGCTTAACTTGAAGAAACTAGAAAAGCTTGATTAATTGTTGTTTCCAACTCAGAAACAATTCGATAACTCATAGTAATAACCCCTGGTAACGACCCATGACAATGCCACACCCTAACCAGCATGCACATTCCACACGCCACAACTACAATTTCCACAACTCTTCACTCCACAAAAATCATACCACCTTTTCCTCTATCCGAATCTCATCATCAACCCAGCTGTGATTCAATCTCTCACCCTTCTTTCGCCCCCTTTTTCAACCTCATCTCATTTCCCTCCCCCATGTCCCTCCGCACCCCTACCCCGCCAAAATCTTACCTCCACCCCAAAGTAGAAAAAAGCCATAATAATCCACCCACTTTCCGCCTTCCGCTAACATATAGCAACCTTTTTTTTATGCAAACCATTTCCGCACCCCCAGTAGTTAAAGTTATCGGGTAATTTAAGCGTCCGGCTTACCGACTTGTCCGCTTACCGGTTGTATTACTCACATGTGGATTATTTCCCTGATGAAATGGTATTGGGTCCAATAATCGTAATCATAATCATAGTGGTAATGACGAAAGCGATTAAAAGAAATACAATACTATCAAGGGTGAATTTATTGTTATTGTTGTTGAGAGTTAAGAAATGGGAAATGGGAAATGGGAAATGGGAGAATCGGGGCATAGGACGGACGATTGATAGAATCATCATGGATTCAGTAACTGTATATTATTGAGATATTGTATTTGAAGGAAAAAAGAAAAAATGTCGATTCAGCGCGAAATACATAGTTCAAGTTAATTCCCATGTTCAATATCGCGGCATATGTAACCGCATCAACCCACTCACTCACCCTTACTTTTTTTTCCTCATCAGCAAGTATCAACTCATCACAACGCTAGCCATGCCAGAAAAAAAAACTCCCGTTATTCACGTATCCGTGCGGCCGGACGTCGTTCCTCGGAGATGCGATTTAGCCCTGGCGAGTTACGAGTGCGTGTGCGGAGTTTAAAAAAAGCAGATGTGTGGATAAATTAGTTATATGAAATACACGGGTTGGAGTGGTAATGAGGGTATGCATGGAATGGTAGGGAAGAGAATGCGGGGACGAAAGAGCGAGCAGGGGAGGAGATGAAACGGGGGGGGGGGGTGGAAGGAAAATGGGGTTGTATGCGATGGCAGAGTTGCTTGGTTGAAAATGTGGAATGCATGGGAGGATGAGATGATGGGCTTTTTTTTTCATACGTGGTGCACGGCTTGGAGGGGGCGGAAGGAGTACTTGAGTAGTTTTTTTCCTCTCATGTTGTACTGTTGGTTTATTTTTTATTTTTCATAATCTTGAGATGCTTATGAGAATGTACATCTGTTGTGGCAGATCGTACTCATCATGAAGATAAGAGGTCAGACATGATGAAGAGTATTATCGCAACTGTGATTACCAATTCTACATATGGATTTTGGGACATTGTATATCTGCGAGGATTGTCTTCTTGTAGCTGAATGTTTATCGCTGCTGCGCAATGAACTCCAGATTGTTTACGAGTCAAGGTCTTTTTTTTGAAGCCTTGGTCAGATTGACCACGTTGGTACTATGTATATTTGTTTAGCTGAAATCAGCGTGAATCAACAATGCATAGACGGTAAAATATATTCAGCCAAGGTCAATCATATACATACAGGAATCATACTAGCAGCTTTGAACAAATGGCTCATGGTTACATGAGATCCAAATTTGGTGTTTATCCCTAGTTTGTTTTTTTACATGCGCAATCACTCAAGTCAAGAATTCGGAGATAGTGCGGGTTGCAATTGGACTTTAAGACCAAGTGCGCAAGTGATTTTTACTCCATAATTTGACAGAAAGGTGATTGATATTGATCTGGCAGAGAAACATCGTACATACACATGCATTATGGGTTTGGACCAAGAAGACTATGAGTAGCAGGCTCCAAACTTCCGTCATACTCTGCACCTTTCTGTAAGCACTGCTTATTTTGCTCGATAAACTCTGTAATCATGTTGTCATATCACTAAGTACTGCATTATACCACGTTCAATCTGTGCTGAATCAATCCACCAAATGTTGAAGATTGCTTGCCGTCGCGTTTCGGCTTTGCTCAAGTCGACTGTAACCACCAAACTTCTCACTTCCACAGTCACGAGAAACATCGGTTGCGAATTCTCGCCACCCGCTATAGCTCTTTTGGCAATCCCATTAAAAGAACTAGTGAAATCGGAGAAATTACCAAAAAGGTATTCACCAGGTAGTTTCACTTTTGGAAGTCATGAGTGAATGGTAGTCGACGGTGTCGCTGCCTAGCGCAGTGCCAAGCCCTGCACGACGCGGACCGCCCAGTACGAACACACCAGCCTCGTCCATTACTCCCCACTTCCCTCCCCATCGCAACTCCACCACCTCAACCTCAACCTCAACCTCGATTCGCATCCATCCTCCAAAATCCACCTCGTCGCACGCACGCATACGCGTTTACCGTTCAACATTGTAAGCTGCTAAACCGTCGTATCGACCTGCCTGGCGTCTTGCCCCAGTGCGCCATCCTTACTGCAAGGCCTTTGACACAGCGAGTCGGCTTCGCGGTCTCCACGTTTCCGACTCGCGCATCTTCGGGGCGATACTCCAGCAAGTCACAGGTGGTAGATACGGCGGGCTTAGTGGGGCACGATTTTGGACGCGTCTTCTGCTCTTGCAACTGCTGCGACAGAGTCAGGGCTGCTCTGCGCGAACAACCGCGAAAGCCCGGGCGGGCGGGTTTCCTTTGCTGCTTGATCGCAAAGGGGCATTTAGTGTTAAGTATACATTGCTGTAGAAAGAACTAATGAAAAATGGTGCTCAGCCTTGTTCGCAACCAAGGTGTCCCTGCCTTAGCCTTTCCTGCAAATGATGAATCCGTGTTGTGGCCGTGTTCTTTAAAGATCTTGCACTCGGACGACCAATTTTCCCTGTCTCTCGGACACTTTGTTTCAATACATGGCGTTCACGACCCGCAGCTCTTAATCCTTCGCTATGAAGGTGACAATCTTATCCCTGGGAAGATGTCACTTGGAAATGTTGGTGTCGCTCTTCCGGGTACATTGTTGGACGACATTGCGCGACATGGGAAACCTCGGCCGCGGATGCTGTCGCTGATGCTCAAAGCACCCTGTTCTGTATGGTATCCTCGCATTATGAACACTGAAGGGTCCGGCCTTCACACCGGATTCCATAAGCTTTTACCGTTGGCCAGGGCGACAGAAGTGCGCATCTTGTTCGACATCAACTGGCTTGAGAAGAGCAACTTCTCCCGGCTTCAAAGCGTCATCGAGGGCTCTCGCCAGCTTACTGGGGTTTTAGCCATCCCACAGTTTACCCGTTGGTATGAGGAAGTAGACTGGTCAACTCTCAACTGTGTCAAGGATACTGAATCTGAACCTCTACCTTCCATCGAGCATACGGTAGCCGGGGCTGCTGCTCCCATTGAAGATACAGTAGATGACGCCCCGCCTCCGTACGCACGTGTGTCGGGCAAGCGCTCGAGAAATGGTGCGTCTTCCAGTCGGTCACAGTACTGACTACTTGCTAACGGACAATCTCCAGTTCGAACCAGCTTGACGCCCGAATCTCCTTTACCGAAGCGCCTCCTTCGAGACCATACATACGCGCGTTCTTCAAAAGAACGTACCCCTTCTGCATCACCGCTGAGTGCAAAATCCACAACGTCATCCACTGCCACTGTGCAGGTGGATGTTTTCCAAGACCTTGTCAAATCTGCCGTCAAGGAAGTCCTCCCAGATTTGTTGCGTGCCGAATTTCCTAGCATTCTGAAAGACCTCCTTCCGGGAATACTCGCTGGCTCCTCATCGTCGCCATCTCTATCGCCGACACGACATCCCGACCAGCTCGCGCACACGCCCACAAAGCACCGTCCAATCCCGAGTCAGAAACTGACCCCTTCAACAGTCGTCAGATCTGTCATAAGCACCTATACCGAGACCCACATACAAAGGATACTTGGTGATGCCCTCGATCAAGCCTCGCACCAAGCCTCTGAACTCCACAACTCGGCTAGCGTAGAGTTTGAGGATTACCTTGCTGACACTCGGCTTGATTTTGCCGCGCTCAAAGAAGACCACATCACTGCCTTTAATGACGAGTGCAATGAGAAGCTGGTCGAATTCAAAGAGCGTCTGGTAGAAGAGAGAGAAGAGGCAGAGGTCGAGGTCAAGGCACATGCTGATCGTGTGGTGCTCAAGACTTGGGATCGTCTGAATAGAGTGGACGGCGATGCATATCCTTGGTGCAAGTGCGTTTGTAGTACCCCGCATAAGCCGAGGGAGGGACAGGCGCGCAGGGCAATGTCTCTGCCTTTGTGAAAGAGGGAACTGAAGAAGCCTTGATTCTTAATTGACGACTTATGATATTTGATACTCTGTTGTAATGGCAAAAGTAGCAATGTAAAGCTTGATACTTCTGATTGTTATGTTCATCTCTCGTTCCATCGTGTCTGTTCTCGTGGCTACTGGATTAGATCGAGAGTCCCTGGACCCTATATAACCAAGTTCCTCATCGTCCCGACTGGGTTGCTTTTTGTGCGACTCGTCATGCAGGTCGAGGTTGCATCCGTCTCTAGCGCCACATATTGCACCGCACGTCCTCTTTCCTCAACCTGTTCGTTCCAGCTTGCCTGGTCTTGTCCACATATCTCGTAGAGCTCATCTCCGCATGAGACAGCGCTCGTGGCAGCTGCCTTGCTCCGATAGCAATGTGCATGTTCCGACGCCCCATCCACTGCCTGATGCATAGGACCACCATCGCATGGCTAGCCGTCTATGATACCCAGGGGACACTGAGACCGACTTGGCGTCCAACTCACCAGTTGCAACGCGACCTTCTTTCAACCAATCACCCCATGTCCTCCTATTCACCACCCTTATCATTCTTCCAGCTCCCAGCATAATGATGCTCCACCAGCTGTGGCGGCAACTCGCTCTGCTGCTCCGCCGTATACGTATTCGAACCAGCCGCAAACGATTGCCCCGGCATAATCAACACGTCCCCCACCAGCCTCGGTTGCATTATCTCATGAAACTCACTTATATCAAGTGTGCGGTTCATCTGCTTCTCCAGACTCTTAAACACACTCCGCGTCAAGCGGCGCGGGCCCGTAAAATCTACCACATCCCCCATAATCTCCAGCGTAACATTCTGAATCCCGATGCCGTGTTCCGTCGTCTCCACCCGCAGTGTCTCGAAGATATCGTCGACGACTTGCATCATGTGCGGTGACCGCGGCTTCGACATGATCGTCCAACTCGCAAACTGCCGCACGTATTTGCCCGGCCAGCCTTGGTCGAATTCCCAGCCTACGACTATGGCGGCGGAGCTCTTGTACGAGGCGGGGACCCAGTCATCGATGGGGATGTCCTTGCACGATACGTCGAGGTCGGACCAGATGCCGCCTTGGTCCCAGAGCAGCAGGTAGCGTAAGAGATCGGCTTTGAAGATGGGGATGGGGAGCGCGAGGTAGGTATCTACAATGTCTGGGCGGAAAGCGAATGTTTTGCGCACGTACGCGTCGCTGTCTTCGTCGGTCAAGAAGTGCGCTGTGTAGCCTGTGTTGTTCTTGATGCACGTATCTGTCCATGCGCGCGCTTCGTCAGATAGTCCATTCGGCCCAAGTTTGTACCATATGAGCTTTGGGATCTCCGTCGGCTGGGCACTATCTGCCGGAAGACCCGGTACACGTGCGATGAAGCTACCCTGCAGCGAGAGAAAATGGTACACGATTCCTATGCTAAAGAGCGCGGCTAACGCGTAGTAAGTCAGCGCTCTGGATAGCTGCGGGGGCCGCGCCAACATGGTCGGGAAGAAGTTGAACGAAAGAACTGAGGATGAACAAGGGGATACGAACACACGCGGGATGCGGTCAGCTTTTGTTACATTATTATTTGATTTCTCTCCAAGCGCGATCGCTGAGCTTAATCATTCCTATACGACGCTAATACGACCTTTTGGGCGCCTGCTTTCGCGCCTTGCATATGCGCGCCGCCCTGGACTAACATTGTTAGCGGGACGCAACAAGACATTTGACAGGGCTGACCGCTGACATTCCTTTGAGTGATGGCTGCGTCCAATCATGCTAGCTGCTTAGTCGCGCCGTTTCGCCGCCCGCGGGATTCTACGGCGCTTCTAAATGCAACTTTGTTTGGTCCGCGCTATCAGCCCCTCTCTCTCCCCTTTATGGGCGCGGAGCTAGTGGGATTTCAGCTGCGCATGCTAACGTTTGGGTATGGGGCTGAGATCGGACGATGGGGGGGGGGGGGAATGGGAAGATCGGGCTACTGTGCAGTGCTGAATGTGATTATAGGGATGGGGGCGATAGTAGTGTGTATCTATACCGAGTGTGGCGGTTGCAGACGAAGCTCGCTTTGAAGTTGCGATGCGAGATAGCGCTCGAGACGTTTGAGATACAGAGTACTCATTGCAATATCCAAAGCCTTATCATCCTGAGACCTAACCGATCGTGATGATTAGCACCATTGTTCAAGCGCTATCATCGCAGGATCTAAGTGACAGTGATGATTGTCGCTGTTTTCCACAGCGACGTTGATATTCTATCGAACCGATCGTTGTACTACTCGGACACGTCACGTGTATTGGAAGAAGAGTAGATATTCTAAGTATATCAAAGTAGTGTAGTACTCTAATCGAGAAGAGGCATAGTTCCTTGACGGCTTCTTTATTTCACCATTTCGACAATGTCGATCGCATGCCTGATACCGTAGATTCCTGCTGTTCCAAGAATACCCATGTCCCTAGCTGTATAGCCCAAATGTGAACCCTTTGCTATATCCATGGAAGCCGCACGAAGAATATCTAAGTCTAGCAAGTTAGTATTCTGCCCTGGATATTTTGGAAATCGGCGTCAAGGGTCTGCTTACCTACTGCCACCTTCTTGATAACCTTCCTCTACTCTTCCTAGGTATCAGCCGTGACGATCTCCCCCAGCTTTTCCTTGATACCAGCTGTGGTGATCTCCGTCATCTCATTGGAAACAGTCTCAATCTCAATGACCCCGAGCTTTCTCATGATATCAGTCGTGGCGATCATCCTACTGCTACTCGCCCATGATCATTCGATGTAGCTCAGCACGCGCTGCACGGTCTCTTCAGCATGCACTGCAATCACACCCAGCTCCTCGGCGTTCCAGTCTTCGCCGTCAGGGGCCTCGGCGATGAGGTAGCATCCTTCCAGCACGAACGCTTTGAGGTGAGCATATGCTGGGGTGAGTCCGGCTTCGCGCATTCCCTGAGCTAGCAGGTAAACATGGTAGCTGTTGAGGTGCTGGACATTAGACCATGCTACTTGGGCTTCCTTGACCATGGCGTCTGCTTGTGCTTGCGTAAACGGTTCGTTTTCTTCGTTGCCAGCATCTGCGAATGCCTGCAACTCCTTGTGCTTGAGTGGGTTGAAGGTGAGGCCTTTGTCGATGTCACTGACATCTGTCATCTCTTGCAGAGATGAGGCGTTGTCCTCTGACATGTCCTCAGTGGAGGTCTCATCAACGTCATTGTCGGAATGCTTGTTTGGTGGAAGTACGGCCTTCTTCATATCCCGAGCACCTTGCAATCTCTTGGTCGTCCCAGTCTCTGGTCTCTTTCGTCCTTGGTATGCATATTGACATGCTACCTGGTTCCATGCAGCAAGCCTTTTGCAGTTGCTCGTCGTCATGTCCCTATAGAGACTGAGGTGATACACTTCCTTTGAATGGACATTGTAGGGAATGCATAAACCGTCGGCTTGCTCTAGCAGGACAAACTTATGGACAGAAGTGAGCTCGACTTCTTCATCCGAAGATTTCACCACAACCATCAGCGGGAGGTCATCTTCGTCCTTGTCGAATGTAATGATCTTGGCCTTGTCTGGTCGATCGATGCCCACAGGACGGCCGTATTTCCTGACGATTTTCCCTGGTTGCTGCTGTGTCTGGGGAACCCAGCCCACAAGTAAATACCGGTCCATGTCTTCTCCAATCTCTTCAGCGGTCTCGGCGGCCGTCAACTCTAGGGATTCGCGTGACTTTGGTCCATTTGGATTCTCTTCCCACTTCGCAATAATTTTCTTGTATACTACACTGGACAGCTTGCGAGCATTGATGAACACGGGCTTGGAATTATCGAAGATATCTGGGTGCTGGAATGCTGCACCGTCCGTTGTGAAGGACAGGTCTGGGATCTGTGCTTCAGTGGCTGCATATATGGCTTGGCGGGTAAGTTTGATGTCCGTCATTACTGCAATGACGGGAAGGAGAAGACGACGACGGTGTTACAGAAGAGAGCGGTGTTTCTGACAGAGGAAGTGGAGGCTGCTTGATATACCCACTGTATCCGACAGGCTCATCAATGGATAGCACGTAGCAATGCCAGTAACTTTACCTTGGGTGAAGTGATCACTCTCACGCCCGACTCTTTCACCTTTACTTGTTTCTTGAACCAGAAAAACGCCTCAGAATAGTTACGGTGTGTTCATGAGAATGTTTGAGAAGTGCGCCATCCTAGATTTAAGCCGCATCTCACTCAAGGAAGAGGCAAAATCGAACCAACCGCCAGTTTCAGTATTCTTGGTGAGGCAGACATCCCAGAATGGAAGCTTCAGCTGCAGCTTTACCCAGAAGGCCTGCTGGTTCTGATGAGTGAGAATATGACCCGAAGGAGGTGAGAGAGCATGGATAAAGGTGAGATAAGTCAGTCATAGAAGCTGGAAAAGCTGAAGTAGTCGAAAAGGCCTAAGAATATGACGGTGAGAAGGGTTTGAAAGGTAGTGAGATCGAAGAAGACGACAGTGCCATGACAATGGTTCAGCTTCAGAATGGCACCCCTCTCATCAGTGCGGCCAAATGAAAGCTCTTCGATACATTGCTGATCAGAAGTGAGTCCATAGAAAGTCTGATCCGCAGACCTCTCTAGTTTCAGTATGATATCAACTATAGGAGAAGTCCTCATACTTCTGCCTTTACCTTCTCTACTGACTTATTCATTCGTAAGAAGAGCCAACTGGCTTACTATCATCCCAACCTCTTAGTTCGCAAGAGTGACGATAGCAAAGTAAAAGTGACTTATATTACTTGTGGGAATGGCAGTTGGATTGACACTGCGTCGGGATCAGGCCACGAGAAGTTTTAAAAGACTAAGACAGCCGCAGCTGGACACGAGTGGCTGCAGAATTAAGTTTGTTTCACATCTGTATAAAGCGCAAGGAGTTCAAAGACTAGTCCAGCTTGAGAGTGCGGCAGGCGCGCCACTCGTCTCATCGGAAGCAACGACTTATACGAGATTTGTCCAAGGCTTCTAGGTATAACAGACGAATGAGCGTGGATGAAATGGTTCTCGGGCTGATTAGCGCTCAAGGATTGCAGGTTGAGAAAGCCAACAGCGAAGGTTCCAGAAGTGTATATCATATCCATGTATGCCTAATCGCAACCTGATTAATCTTAGAGATCAATTTATTCTTGGACCGGTTGCGAATGGCTGTAAAGCAGTCACATCAGGCGTCCTGTTCATCTCTTCCAGCGCGCTTGTAAGGTAGGACGGGTGCAAGGTACAATGTTCCATTGCGGTGTTTCATTGCGCGGTTTATTTGGCATCCCGTCGCAATGATGACCCGAGAATGCCCAAGCAGGTACCCGTTAGGCCATTTAGAGCCCCCCTATATAGCTGGCAGGCGCGTTTGCCAGAAAAAACAAGCACCATTGGCGTGTTTTCCCATCCGCGGTAAGTAGATTCTTTTGTTAGCGGTGTGATACGAGTACTCTAGGATGGACAGTCTAGACCGTGACACGTCCTGCTCATAGGGCGCTAGGGCAGTTCAGATCTTTAGCAACTCATTCTACAGCGGTTGAAAGCCTGTTTAGTTACTCCTTCCGTTTTCGGCCTACTTTGGGTTAGTATGTAGCGGGTAGTCTGGGGGCTAGGCTTGCATAGATTAGGACACAAAACGGAGGGGCTGTTCGGTTGGAGCTCCGTTTTGCAGTGATATTATAGTTACGTCGTAGTCATACACCACGATTTGTTAGTCTCACCGAAGAAACAGGAGATATGTTGTAGCTACGTGGCGCAACGGAATTTTGGAACCCAATGGTACCTTGTAGATATCATCAAAATGGAGATTCGCCTTGCCGAAGAGAGGAAGACCTGCATACCAGTTCTGCGCTAGACAGGGACTCTTTTATTAGTGTTGCGGAGATACAACAGAGCTTTGTGTTACTGCACGCGACGCTGTCTCTGGGACTATTTTTAAGAATTTGCCAAATGCAGTTAGTGGAGTGCAGAACAAAGCTTAACCGACCGGACCCTGAATCCTTTGGGATTCAAGCAATTCTGCAACGGCTTGGTCGCTTGGCATTCGCACAGATTGATGTAACTTTATCCTCCTATTCTCGCTGAGTGTGTAAAATATTCTCCGCAACCCAGTGATTATAATGCTATCAAGACACCTCCAGTCAAACTCGTATACATAGAGTGATGCGGGACTGAGATTCAGGCTGAATAGTGTTGGACTTGCTCTTGTCTTCAGGCGTCCTGTGGTGGACCCTACGTAAGGCCCCCAAACTTAGGACATTTAGTAAATCCTCCATCTATGGGGCGACGGGACAACCGTCTGAATTACACTAAGCGAAGATCAACGGGGTCTAAGGCAGATATGGTAGGCAGTTCGACAGATGCTGGCAACGAGAAGTCAACTCGAAAAGAAAGGTATATAAGTCTCGAGCGTTCTTCATCATTTCTCATCAACACACTCCCATCGATCACTCATCTCCCCCAAACTCACCTTCAACCGCAAAAATGCAACTCACCACCATCTTCTTCTGGGTTGCCCAAGCTGTAGGCGTCTTCGCAGCTCCCCACGCCGGCAATGAGGGCGAAGCCCCAGACTTCGCCAACTCCTCAATCCCACCCCCAAACACACCATGGATGAGCTTCACCGACAAAGCCGTATGTAATATCAAATTCCCTAAGTAAGCAGTCACTGACTCCTCCATCTTGTAGAGCCCACTCTCCCCCCGTGGCTGCGTTTCAACCGCTCCATACGGCTGCGATCTTGGCAAAAAGCGATGCTGGAAGGTCTGTGGTGATGGCGGCCAGTGGTGCTGGACCGCTCGCGGTGACGGATCTGGAGACTGGTACGGATGCACCGACTGGGGCTCGTGCAACCAGCAGCAGTCTTGCGGCATTAACTGCCACAACCCCAAGGAGTGCGGTTGCAACTGCGGTTAAGAAAGAGAAATGATAGACTTGATGCATGAGTAGTGCTTAGAGCCTTGAGTTGAGATTTTGAAAATATATGGAGAAAAGAGATCGGCTTACATGGTCGTATTTGTCAATGGATATTTGCAAATTATCTGGTGACTTGTGATGTTTAAAAGGTATGAGCTGCAATCTTTCCGAGTTTTATACCGAGGGACTATGCTGCTATGCAATCCTGGTCTACATTAATGCAAATAAGACTTGCTGTTAAAATTCCCGCGTATTTTGTCCTGGGAAGTGATGTATCCATGAAGACTGGCATATACATGATCGTAGCAAGATGATCCCGACAATATCACAATACGAGTTTGACTTTCTAATCATAAATGTCCAAACCAGGGGATAATGGCATCAAGGGAGATTATGAGTTCGATTTACACGAATATAGTGCTCTTATTCATCAATTCCACGCTAGACCAGCAGAATCACCATTTCAGCGAAGCGAACAGCATCCTCAGATTTCCCACGTCATGTACAGCCAGTACATTCCTTAGAAATGTATTTCCCAAGAGAAAGGGTGCAGTGCCACCTACTTTGGGCTGCAAGGCAGGCTGGAAGCCAAGCCAGCACAGCACAGTCGAATCATTGGCGTGACCAAGCCAACCATCAAGGAGCACATCTCTCTTGTTGATTGGGAGGTCCGTACCATTGATGCGGAGGCTTACATGAGGAACTGTCGCATTGCAATTGGCGATATACGAGCTGTCGTAAACCGAGTAATATGCTGGAGGCTGTATCGCTTCGGCAATGGCTTTCGCAGCGTCATCAGGGATATAGCTCCAGGGGGTTCCAGTATCGAGGATAGTAAAGATCTCTCCGCCGTCAGCAAAGACACCGGGAACCCATGGCACAAAAGTCTGGTTGATGGTGAATCCATCTGGCCTGGTATTCCAGTGGGTGTACTTGTTTTTCACGCCCCAGGGCGCAAACGTCGTAGTGCTAACTTTTGACTGGGCCCAGACCCCAGTAAAGGGAAGTCCGTCAAGTGGCGCACCTCCTACAGCCACGAATCCAGATGTGCTCAAATTTGCAGCATTCTCCGTTCTGTTGCCAAGATTGACTGAGAATATAGGTTTCTCCACTAAGCCCTGTTCGACTGCATTTTGGATCCAAGTCTTGGTAGCAATCCAGGTGTGGTTTGGGTCGGTTTTGTTATCAAGGTCTGAGTTATCTCCTGGATAGTATGCAGTATAATTGCCCAGTCCCCACCCTGTTATCGTCAGACATACATGCATCAGACTGCTAGACTATTTGCGATATCGCAAAAAAATGGAAGATAGGACTTACCGATAACTCCACTAGTCATATTGTACGCAGTGCTGAGAAAGACTTTCTCCGCCAGCGACATATGCTGATTCCGGACTGTCAAACCTGCGATGGTCACGTCTTCGAGACCAACAGAGCCCCTGGCAAATTCTGCGCTGAGATATGTTATGTTAAAGTTTATATTTGGTATTCGTCCCCCAGTATACTCGGCAGGACCCACCGATGCGAAGCCGCATGTGGACTGAGGCCTGCAGAGAGTGTAAGTCAATCTGTAATTCGCGGCCAGCTTCCGCATCATACTTACTTCACTTTGCTGTCGATATCAAAGCATGTGAAGTTGGCACTGGGTAGCCAAAATGAGTTGCTTCCGGTATCAAATTCAACAGCATGAGTTTTTCCTCCGAGCGTAACATCGATGGCATAGCGCGTTCCGTCCATGATAGTTCGCGTGGGACCGGTGTTTCTATCAGCGGATCGAGCGGCTATTGAATTGAACACACCATTGTCAGCTCTCCGCTATGCTGCTTCGATGCAAGATTTTTGCTTTACCAATAGGATTGCCCGAATCGCGCTTGGCAAGCGGGTTTAGTAGGTGAACAGATCTTGCAACAGGAATATCGAATTCACGAAGGGCATCAGCGTTGTTTTCAAAGAATGCTCCGGATGAGAGTGGAATGAGTGTCTGCAACACCAAGGCTGCTTGGCATAGCTGGCGACGAGACATGATTGAGGGGACCGGCGATACCAGACACATGCTGTAGGGGAGGGGTAGGATTGTCTACGTACTTATGTATATTTCGAAATGTTAGCTTAAGACGCTAAAGGTATAAGCATGGCGGCCCTGCTAGCTTAATTCTTAGGCGGACACTAAGACGGTGCAGGATGTTGCAGACTGGTCCTTTGGACCTCGAAAAATAAGCACTACGTAGTATGTGAACCGTGTCTTCTCCAATGGATAACAAGACCCTTGATCACTCCGACCACTCCTGACAGGCGTGCAATCTACACGGAAGTCTAGAGGATCCTTACTTTGCCGCTCGACCACTGATAGCAATGCTAGACGCTGCAGGGCTGAGATTTCTCCCTGCCCTCCTAAGTCATGCGTCTAGTCGTCCCGAAAGTAGAGGCGGAATCGGCGTTATTCTTAAATTATCCCTGCTGCTCGGCCAATAGCGACCGCATAAAGATTTTGGCCCGATTTGGCAGCAATTCTCAAGTCGTACATGGAAGCGATGATTAGGTTTCGAGGTCAGATTGGCTGAAATGGCCATGCGCATGTGGGAAGTTGTATTTGTTCTCGGTCGGCCTCAGATGCTTAGACCGCCTAACTGAGCATCTTGCAGAGCTCCCAGAGGTGCGGTACACCGCAAAGATGTTTTTTTTCTTGGCTTGATGTCGTACGTAGCGACAGCATGTCACCCCATTTAATAGGCACGATTTCGGCATAACGTGCAGACACTGCGTCGCGTTTTGAGGCAGTGCATGTCAGCACATCATGAATTACACAGTAGGTACTAAGGCATGCTGCAATAATATAGACTGCTGTAAACATCACAATACATAGTTAATGAGTCTCAATATGAGTGGACACAGCCATGTATATTTCGAAATTTTAGATTATACTTGCTGTTGCCACACAACGGGCGTCTGGCGTGCTTCTAACATGCAAAGGAAGAGATTGGTTTATCTTGAATACTGCGTACGTGGACATGTCACTAGAATAGCAACTCGCCGTAACATCGAGGCAAACACGAGCCGCTGAGAGAGTCCAGAACTGCGCCCGTTCTGCACAGCTGACCACCGTATAGCAACAGTCAGCCTTTCCAGCCCAGAAATACGCGTATTACTTCAATATGACAAGCGCGTCGTAGCAAATATTCCAACTGTCTAGCAGCAGGAGTACCTGCTCGTCGGTTTCCCCGTTCATCGCCAGGGCGTGGATCTTCAAAGTTTGGACTCGTATTTTCGAGCGGTTTTCTGCGCCCGTGTCTCCGCACGTACCATCGCGCCACATCGATGGGCGATAGCTGCAGTACGGAGTACTTAGTACGTAGCGACAGAGATGTCATGCGTGCTATTGATCCGCGCAGGAATAGCGCAGCGCACATAAGACTGCTGCAATAGTATATGCCCTGTACAACCCATACATATGCGCAATACCGAGTACGACGATGAGTTCGGCAGTAGCACTTGGTTCATCCGCAATTGGTCCTGCGAGAGTTGATAGCGCCACAAGCTGTCCCCGCCATTCGTAGGGTGCACCAACTACGGGTGGCCCGGAAGTCAGCTAGACAACCCCGCCGACTAGAAGCATCGAAAGAAACAGAAGTACTACAATGGTTACAAAGACCAAGACCGAATTTAGAAGAGGATTTGTTGTCTTGCCTTGTCGGCATTGTCGGTGCTGCCATTGGCGCCAAGCATGGGAGAGCAGAGCATAAAGCATGAAGGCAGCACCTGATGTCTGTCGTAATCCCAGCTAGGCTATAGTTCGATATCAGGTTAGAGCAGAATTGAGTTTTCGACGCCGTTATGGAAAACCACAGCTCGCCATCGAGCAACGCGGTGTGCTGAGCAAAGGCAGGAATCACGTGACCGGCCTACTCAGAATGTACGCACGGACGCGAGATCTCTACACCAGCTACACCGAAACAACTACGCAACGAGACCAAGAAAAGTCGACGTGTGACGATTGACAATGCTGGAGATTCTCATTTGTTCCTCTAATCGCCATTGATGACAGATGAAGTACGGATGCCCATCGCCCTAATTCGTGCAACATCCTGCTTAAATCTAATTGTTGTACGAAGAGGTGTTTTGATCACCTCTGCGAGGATTCGGAGCGAAGAGTTCAGATGAATAAAGGAGCCGTGTAAGAAGACAAAAAGAATAAAAAGTACAGAGTTCGTGTTGTAAGATAAGTCAAGACGCCATCAATTTTGTTAATATACAACTTTTCAACGTGAAGTGATAGAGATGGCCCTAACAGATTTGGCGGTGAAGATTTTACTCATCATTGTAATCGCGGCAATAAAACTGCATTATGATCATGTATCAACAAAGACTTAGGAATACATGACATTGCCAGGGATGGCGCCAATCTGATCTACAAGATGCCGGGAGACTAGAAGCCTCCCCGCCCTCTGATAGACTAATTACCCCATTTAGAATCCTCTCAATAACCCAATATCCACCTAATCTTTGGATTCAGAGATCAGCAGCCACAGCCACAGGCCTTGCAGTCTCCCTTGCCACACTTGGCAGCCTTGTTGTTGTAAGACCATTCGCAGTCCTGCCACCTGCCACAGGGAGTCCAGCCTCCATTGCCACTTTCGTATGCAAGCCAGCACCAAGTCTTCTTGAGACCAACGTCAGCATTGACAAAAGGGCCGTCGCAGTTCCTCCAGCACCAGCCCTTATCGCATCCATAATCGTAATCGTAGCCGGAGCCACGGCCTCCCTTTGAGCAAACGCCCCGTTTAGCGATCGCCGCAACCTCGTCGAGAAGGTCTCCGCGCTTGGAAGAGTTGGTGACTTCCGTCTCTGAAGCTGGGTCGTACAGAGGACTGGCGATTCCAAGCTCAGAGGGATGCTTCTTGCACTTTCGGAGAGCAGAAATGTCGGTGCCTTCGGGTAGGGTTGCGGGGTCCCACTCCATGACTCCGAGTTCGCCACAATCTTCAACAGTGGCTTCGACCGCCTCTGCGGTCGGAGAGCATAGAGCTCCGGTAGCGGCGAGGCCGAGAAGAATAGACAGAAGCTTCATTTTGGTAGGGTTGAAAGTAGAAGACGCCGTTTTGATGATGGTTGTCTGTGTAGCTGAGAGCTGTGGTAGAATTCAGGCAGCGTAGCAGATGTCATTTATACGTTGAGCACTCTGGTAAAGCTGTTATGGATATTCGCCAGAAGAGGACCTTGTGGTTGCTTGACGAACTCGGCTCCATGAGGCCCCCTGACCTGAGATTCTGTGTATGCTGTTGGTTTTCATGATCAGAGTCTGATCAGGCTAATGTGGTTCTATGATATACGAGCTACCCACTCTTTGGCGTGAGTATGCCTCCCGGGACTGGGGACCTGGATCAAACCGGTGAAATCCAGAGGTTGGCACGCACAATTAAAGACATAGGAAACAACTTGCAAATGCTGATTGCAAACGTAGTGATACAACCTGTCCATGTTTTGTAGACATTTCTTCTAATACTTGCATCTTCAATGTTAGGAAAGCTGACGATAGCGACTGCCGTTCCTCCATTGATTGCTATCTTCGTTAGCGAAGCCGTAGTGAAGGCGGGTCTCGGAACCTCCGCGCCACTCGCTAAACATTGCCTATATTCGAGTATTTCGGTGTCACCCAACCTCGAATTTTTCATCAAACTGGGAGGCTTAGTTGTTGGTTGTAACAATGCGCTAACCCAGCATGGAATCTCATTCGATCTTTGATCCCCGAGGCTGGAGGGCCTTGCAGTAGCTTAGCGAACTTGGCTTCATAAGGCCCACTACGAGGTCGTATTGGGAATCGCCTTATTGAGTTGTTCAGGGAAATTATACGAAAAAGCTCGTATTTAATACGTAAATGATTTTTTTTCGCCGACGTCCGGACTTTAACGTTATGATGGGCAACACTTCCTCGGAGTGAGTTGTAACTTTGGTTCTCAACACCACGACACGAAATTACGTTCATGAGGTTGCTAGTAGATTACTGCAAACATCAGGTGATATGATTTCTGATGTTTTGACAACTATTATAGCAGTCTTATTACTCCAACAACTTCAATGTCGTCAACTTTGTAAGCCTGACGACGTTCACATGCTGCTTATTCGTCACTATCGATTTCCCTGCCAAAGATTCTCCGGCGGAACGGGCCGGGACCAACCGTCTGCTCAGCCGCGCCACTAAGTTCATATTCTGGACACTAACTCCTGTTTTACTAGGTTATCCGCGCATTTGTTTCTTGCCATTCTTAATACAACACAAGGGAACATTTTAGTTGTATAACCGGTGTTTGCTAATCCAATGCCCTACCTTGATTGTCTCGCGATACCTTGACAATGTAGCACAGCATCAAAAGTCCCGTTGATTGTCTCTGTTCCAGCCAATCAGGCTAGATACGACCTAGAAACATTTGATAGTAGTCCGCCTCTCTATAGACATTCAGCCATCATTAATCGTTCTTTGTTGTTAGTAAGTATCGAAGATAAGCGCGTACTTGAGTATTAAAAGGAGTCCCTAGATGCTAGCCACTTTGTTCGGATACCAAATTTCGAAGTCCGTGATTTAGATGTTAGTGCAGTCGAATACCCGAGTCTTGGTATTGTGGGTAGAATCGTATCCTCGAATACATATTGTAGCAGATTATGTCCTTGAGCTAGTAGAGAGAACAGATCATGACTAGTAATCTAGCCGGTAGAAGGGAAGTATCAGTGTTATAGCCGATAGCTGTCGCTAGGACTGTTCTTACAAATGGCTGGGGCATCGGTGGGGAAGTCCTTGAAACTCCGCAAGCGAGATGATAATTGTCCAAATTATGGTGTTAGCGGAGGTGCTATAGCTGTAGATGACGTATCTCTGTCATGATGGTCATGTGAATATATTCCGGATATGGATTCTCCGTAGATCTCTGTGAGTATATCCGCGTAGTTATAGAGGGTTCACAATGACGACTCGATACCGGTTAGTCTCCAATCATTGACATCTTGCTATCTTATGTGCGATTGCCTCTCTTTCCATTGCATATAGCTCTACGCAGAAAGCTGTGAAAATGATAGGAAAAAATCACTTGGGGATAGTACGCATTTTGGCATGATAACAATACCATAGTAAGAGCAAGCACTGTGAGCTCAGTGATGCAAGTATGCGTCTTGGACTAGATATGTTGCCAACGCGACACATCCATTCTTCTCATAAGAATCGTCTGGGTCGGAGGTATGGTATGCACATACACGATGAGCATACTGTGTACAACGTTGCTTGGAGAAGATTGATCATAGCTCTTCGCTCGCTACTTTTCCCCGCTTTCTAACTGGACCACATGCCGACAATTGACCGGAGGAATGCACAAGTTATCGCAATTGCAGCTATGCATATTCACACGTACATTGCATAACGCGCACAATTCCAGGGCCCCATAGATTCCGAAGCACAAGCCGCAAATTGCCAAATAGTTGGTGTTCGATGTCGGCAAGACGCATTCACCGCCGTTTGGCGCCCCCACCCAGCCGGTCCACCCCGCCTGGATTAACGTCGCTCCGACGTCACCACGTTGGCTGGGGCAACAACCGAAGTCTCGCCTGTGGCTACGTAAGCCACCCACTAGCGTCTTCCCACTGAATATTTAAACCCTTCATCTCATCTCTCTTCTGTTCTTTAGCTCTGTGAGTCTTTTTCCCACGACCCCTACTGTTGAGACCAGTACACTAACAGCATGAAGCTTTGCCTTTTGGCTTAGATCAAGTGTAGTATCTGTTCTTTTCAGTTTAATCTCTGGTAAGTGATTCCACTTATTCCAACCCACCCTCAGAACTACTCACCAATGTTGCATTGTCACACTGTCTTTCTCTATCCTATCTTTACACCTCCATACCTTCGCCTTTTCTCTACAGGATCACAGCTAACCCGAAATAGAAACTCTCCTAAGGGAGAATTCTTGATTATACTTATTTTTGCAACTAGTGGACGGCTCCCTGGGCTTGCTCATAGTCGTCCTCACAGTGTCGTCCGTATCGCACTACCTCGGACTGACGCGAACTTTTTCATCAAGTCTTCTGGATAGCTCCTGTTGCTTGAGGAAGAAGACAGTCGCGATCGCAAATTTTCGATACCAGTAATAATACACTCAACATGTTACAATTATCAAGAAGGATTCTCTCCTTGACGAGATGGCTGAATGCCTATGGATGTCCACGCCAGAAGGTAATGATCATCGCGGGCTCGAGGTCACGTGATTTGCCATCCGGGATGGCAGGACTGGAAGCAATGAGGATATAAGGATGGATGTATTTCATTATTACTCTCGTTGTGGTCAACTCAAATTGTACTTTCTTACTAGTTACTTTAATATGACTGTTATATGTTAGTCTAGCAATATAGATTAGAGGTGCCGGACGGGCCAACGCCGGATTTTCCCTGCTAACACTATCACAAACTTGAAGCTATAGAGCTCTATATAAGAGCTATTATCACGAGAAATCTTAGTGTAGTAATCTAGTAGTATCATTTATTTAATCTATCTACTGATATTTGACTGGTAGCTTGATGGGGCGGCCTGAACGCGAGCGTGGTGATGGTGGTGCAGCTGATCAATTGGCTGCTTCTGCACCGGCACTACTACCACTAACGATAATATTTTTTGATACTAGCTTTATACGGCACTTGAATATAGACTTCTTACCTATTTAGGAGATTTTAATAGCTTTTTGAAGTCGTTTGTGGGCGGCTTGGCGGGCTATCCGGTAGGCAGCTGCTTCAGCTTTCTGCCTCTTACGATCTAGTTTTACCTGTGCCCGCGCCCGTCGCCGCGCATCTAGTTCTTGAGCTTTGAGTAGCTTTCTCTCCTCTCTAGCTTTAATCGCGATAGCTTTTTAGTGTTGTAACTCCTCATAATCGGGCTGTTTCTGCTTATATTGCTGGCGAGCTTCTCGCACCTTCCGTGGAGACCAGAAAGTAGCTCCACCATGATAATCGTCGGACAGCTCGAGCGTATCAGGCTGGATACGCTCCTTCCGCTGTCTCTCATCGATGAGAGCTGCCTGGAGCTGCTCGTTTTCTCGTTGAAGAAACGCTGTATTGGCGGATAGTTTTATCATGATTCTATTGAGCGCTAAGATCGATCTATTACTCGTAGATTGATTAAATAGCTGCTGAATCGTTCTCTAATTAGAAGCTGATTCTACTAATGCGTCTCTATCGCTATTAGTAGCTATAGTTTTGAATTTTCAAAGTATAACTTCTGGATTAAATGGTGAGAGTCTAGTAGCTCTAAAAGCATAGAGAATTGATGATTCCTTGAACGCTGTGCACTAAGCTCTCTAGAATATTAGGAAGAAATGAGATTTGGTGAATGGTATTAGCCCTTAGCTAGTATTGGTGAAGTTTGATAGCTTATTTGAGTATGCGGTGGATAGTGGCTTAAATAATCTAATATCGAGTGGCTGTAGCGTATGCATTAAGTGCGGCGGGAAGATAGCTAATAGTACTTTATTCTGATTATAACAGTTAATAAAATCCATCGTTATACGACTATAGTGCCCATCTATAGTAAGTAATTAGTAAGAAGATTAAGCTTTTGGCTTAGTGGCTGGATCGAACACTTGTTTAAGCTATTAGAGACCGATATTATCATTTAACTAGCTATTAGCTAATATGGTAATATACATAGTATAGATATCTAGATTAAAACCTTAGAGCTATAAGTTCTGGATAGAGCTAGATTTGCTAGAGTAGATGATGCTTAGATCTAGATACGATCTATCCGCGCAGATATATGCGATCAGCGTAATCTATTCGGGATTACTATCTTAAATATTTAATCTTTTCAATTTGGACTTAAGAGCAGCTTTAGAAAAGATTCTAACTAAGCGGGACTATACTCTAATTATAAAGCCCTTCTCATCTATATTATATATATGTCGCGGCTCTACCTTATATTAATCGATTTTTTGGCGTAGAAGCTCGAAGTAGAGCTGGTATTTCTTTTCTAAATTAGCTCGGCGCTGGCTACGATTAATTGGCGTGGTGCGCTTAAGTATAATAAGATGCGAGTTACGATGAATAAAGCGATTAACCTAGTGATATTCGAGCTGCTTCTGAGCTAGCTGCGACGCGATATTTCGAATGATACTCTGTATAGGTGGTAGGCCTCGCTTAGTGAGTCTATCGATATAGTCGATAAGCTCAGCTTTATGTTATTGGTAGACTGCCTGCTGGTTTTATGCAGCTGCTTATCTGAAGCTAGAAATATCTTGGTGGCGGCTGCTCAGCGTTCCTGGGTCAACACCATATTTTTTGCAATTTGAGAATACACAAGTTTTTTATTGGGCTTTAGCGCGTTAATAGCAGCAAGCGCAGCGTCAATTGATTGCATCGTGGTCACATTATGGGTGGTTGGAGTGGATAGAATAATTGGTGTTGGAGGACGTAATCCGGCGTTGGCCCGTCCGGCACCTCTAGTAGTTGTCAAACCTTTTGTTACCTTCTATCAAGCACCCCACTCCACTGTATCGCCAGACAACCCTCACGGAACACTAGCGTAAAGCTCATCGGCCTTAGTGCGGACCCGGCAGGAGAAGTATAGACCTAAACCCCGTGTAACAGGGCGGAGTCTGGCAATGCTTGTAAGCTCTAGAAGACGCAGCGCTGAGAATGGATTTGTAAAGCCGCGATGATCATTACATTGTAACGTGGACGTTCATAGGCTCCCAGCCTTCTCATCTTTTGCTAAGGAGAAAATTCTTCTTGTTACTTTCAACAGCTGCGGGGTTGAGACATTATGCGTTGTTATTACAAAGGGAAGATAGCGAGGGAAAGCGATCCCCTTACTAGGGTGGCCCACTTACTGGTAAACACGTTAACTATCCAGCCAGTTTTAAGCTAACATAGTTTCGCCGTAGCTTGGTGACGCCAAGGTAAATGCACCCCTATTTAATTGGTAACGCAGCTGCTCCGCTACCCAAATTATTCCGTGCCACCCTCGTAACTCTGGACAAATCTGGTTAGAATGATAGAGAATTTCGTCGCCTACTTCAGGAATGTGCCTTGCGCTCTAAAATGCCCGTGTGTCCTTTGCACTAACGTATCTCGTCTTATCATATACCTTACGCACGTGTGGCATTGTCAGGGACATTGATATTGTGTTGTGCCCAAAGTGTTCTTGCGTATTGAAGCCGTACCTACCACCAGCTCCGCATCCTGGTTTGGCTCCTTCGCATCGATACGATGGACTCAAAACCACTCGGAAAACGACGGTCACATACTAAATCGCGTAACGGATGTCTGCAGTGTAAACGCAGGAGAATCAAGGTGCGTTTAGCTTGAAAATAAACTTAGAACCAGGTTGTCTGATGAGTGGCACAGTGCGATGAAGAAAAGAGTGGCTGCGGTTACTGTACGCGGAGAGATGTGCGTTGCGTATTTCCACATTGCTCGAAAGTATCTGCGCCTGCTACTCTTTCCCCCCCAGTTTCGCCTCATGCGCCGACTACTAGCGCATGCTCACCTGGGATGTCGGATTGCAGCACTTTACACACATTCGCCACGATATCGCACCGAAACTCTAACGATGGTGGAGAGCTGGATTCCTTTACTATGAACGATCTTATGCTACTGCATCACTGGTCTCTCGTCACCAGCCTTACAATGGTTAATACCCCAGGTGTTGATCATATCTGGCAAACCGTCATGGTAAAGATTGGAGCTCAACATCCATACGTTATGCATAGTATATTTAGCCTTACAGCGCTACATCTCGCCTACCTCGACCCAACAAAGAAGCATACCCTGATCGCAACAGCTGCCCAACACCATAACAGGGCCCTTCGCGACTTCCAAGCCAAACTTTGCAACATGAATAAAGAGGACAGTGATGCCCTCTTTGCCAGCGCCTCTATAAATATTTTGTACGTTTTCGCAACCTTTGGAAATCTGTATCATGGCGACGCAAACGAGTCCTCAGCCGATCACCGCTCGCGTATCCTTGGTGAGGATTGGGTCCCATTGATACGAGGCGTAAATCGATTGATAGAGCAGACTCGCAAAGACGTTAGCGTCGGTCCGCTAAATTCGCTACTAAAGATCGGAAACTGGAATGAACTCGACCCGGATGCCGCGAGGGTACCCTACAACGCGGAGCTGCAATCTCTCAAGTCGATATGGGTGGACAGCCCTGACGCGCACGTGTATAACGAGTCTTTGTACCTGCTGCGCAAGTGCTGGGCTTGGACTACTCTGTTTCCAAATACTTCTGAGCACTTCTTTCCAGATGTTGCTCCACATCCTGATTGGGAATACAATCGCAGTTGGAGTGGTCCATTTATTTGGCTAAGTCTCGCGCCAGATGATTTTTTCTTGCGCTTGCAGCAGCGTCACCCAGCTGCGCTGGTTTTGTTTGCTCACTTTGGAGGGCTGTGTGCGGGGCTCGAAAGATACTGGTGGATGGAGGGCTGGGGGGAAAATATCGTAGCAGCTGTAAAGGATACCTTGGGGAGCTACTGGGACGCCTGGATCGAGCTGCCAAGGAGACTTGTGGCAGGAACAGGGGATGAAAATCACCGGGAAGCTCGGCCAACCTAGAATAACCTGATAAGCTAGAGTTGTATGCAGCATAGCTACCTACTGTGTATGGGCCCACTCATTGTGAAACAGGGGGGGGGGTGCGTATTTGGGCTGCGTATTTGGGCTGCGTATTTGGGCTGCGTATTCCGGGTGCGTATTCCGGGTGCGTGCTTAGCGTGTCCATGATTAGTCCGATGCGAGTTGGATCGATCATGAAGTGATAGCCCTTCCCCTTTCTATGCGCCAACTTCTGGTCAGGTTAATCTGTTCAAGGCCAGGTTGAGCAACGGCCTTGAGAATCACATTGCCGCCGGGAACTCACAGCAAAAGCATAACGACCTGTCTTTCTACCCTGGAATATCACCATGCGTCATTTCGACCCAACATCTAAAAACGATGAGGAAGCCGACCTCGGACTTGCAGGCGAAAATCTTCGAATGTCTGCTATTGCCAAGGGTATTCTCATCCTGCACTATTTATTTGGGTGGCACATTCTCACATTATTATAGACGACGACCGTATCGACCTCACTTTCGATGCGCAAGACGCTAGTACATTGAACAGTTTTCTGTACCAAAGGACTCAGAAGAACAGTCCATCGCTCAACAACAATGCCAAATACTCTATTGATGATCACAAGAGGACCTTAGTTCCTGCACTCAATATTGTGATACAGATCGTTGGAAGTCGAGGTATATTCACTGACATGAACTCTCCGTGTTGTACCAAAAAGCTCATGAGTCTGTACAGGCGACATCCAGCCCTTCATAGCTTTGGGCACCGAGCTTAAGCGCTACGGTCATAGGATACGCATTGCGACGCACGATGTCTTCAAGCATTTTGTACACGAGTCAGATCTCGAGTTCTTCCCTATCGGTGCTGATCCGTCAGAACTTATGGCAGTAAGTCTATTGTCAACAGAACTAATATCTCATGTTCACGTTGAGTAGTACATGGTGAAGAACCCTGGTATCATCCCTAAGTTTTCAACGATCAAGGCCGGAGACATCGGCAAAAAACGCGCCATGATTGCTGATATACTAGAGGGCTGTTGGAGATCATGCCTCGAACCTGATCTAGATACTGGTGTGCCGTTCATCGCAGAAGCCATTATCGCAAACCCGCCAAGTTTTGCACATGTGCATTGTGCAGAGGCACTAGGGATTCCACTACACATGATGTTCACGATGCCTTGGAGCCCAACAAAAGCCTTTCCACATCCCCTGGCGAATATCAAACGGTCGAATCTCGATCCGAGTACGGCCAACTATCTCACCTATGGAATGATTGAGATGATGACTTGGCAAGGGTAATTAGATTCCTTAGCTTCTTTGTGCGAGTCTTCGTGAGCCTAACAAAACTTTTTATAGACTGGGAGATATCATCAATGACTGGCGAGAGAATACACTCTCACTGGAACCAATCGGCGCTATCGATGCGGCAGGTGTTATGGAATCGCTTCAAGTACCTTACACATATTGCTGGTCGCCAAGTCTCGTACCCAAACCGAATGATTGGCCATCACACATTGGTAAGCTCTGAGAATTTTATACTCTTCCATTAATGTGGATGCTAACGTAGCAGACGTTTGCGGGTTCTTTTTCCGGGAAGAGCCTCAATATTCGCCTCCAAAGCATATAGATGAATTCCTTCGAGCTGGTCCTCCACCGCTGTACATTGGTTTCGGCAGTATCGTGATGGAAGACCCAGCTTCCGTTACAGAAATCATCTTGTCTACACTACGGAAGTGTGGTGTTAGAGCTATTATTTCACGGGGATGGAGCAACCTTGGTGAGGGGAGGGAGGACGAGAATGCGCTATTCATTGGGGACTGTCCTCATGGTAATTCTAAAACCGGGTCCAAAGTCTATATGAACTAATAATGCGTCCAGAATGGTTGTTCAAGCGCGTCTCTGGAGTTGTGCATCACGGCGGTGCAGGAACAACAGCCTGTGGACTTTTGAATGCGCGTCCGACTTCCATCATCCCATTTTTCGGAGAGTGAGTAAATTCTATTGAAAATGCAGCTAGTCTCTGCTGACACTCGTTTCCAGTCAGCCGTTTTGGGGAGAGATGGTAGCTGCTGCAGGCGCTGGGCCTCGCCCAGTTCACCACACATCTCTCACCGAGGAAAACTTCACAGTCATTATTAAGACTTTGCTCGATCCGAATACAAAGCGCTCAGCCAAGGCTATCGCAGCAAAGATGCAATGCGAGCAAGGTGTGAGGCGTGCTGTAGAATCATTTCACAGTAATCTTCCCCGAACAAATCTTGCATGCAGCCTGTTGCCTACCGAAAGCGGGGTATGGATGTACGATGCAAAGGCACTCAAGAAACAAAAGAAGAAGGCTATTGAGGGCCTTAGACTATCCCCTAAAGCAGTCACGGTCTTGAGTAAGCACAAACTACTGGACTTGACCAACCTCAACTTGTAAGACATCTCCCTAATCTCCCTAATCTCTACTCCACAACATCTTCAACAACAATACTCTCTTTTATTAAACTGGTGTTAAAAATAATCAGGCAACACTCCAACCCTTTCCATCTTGAAACGGAACGTTGGGATCCCCTGACAGCAACCTCCTCCTCCGTCCTTGCTAGCGTCGTCGACTTCAGCCACGGCTTTGGCTCCCTCGCCTCGGCTCCTGTCAAAGCGTACAAACACTACCATCCTGCCAAGGCCTCGTTTTCTCCTGATGTACCCTCCACCGCCAAAACGGCCTCTGCTGGTTCTGGCGCCGGCGCCGCCTCTAAGGCTGGCATTAATAAAATGATGGCCAGTCTCATCAAAGGTTCATTAGTCGACTTTCCCGTCGCTCTAACGGAAGGACTGAATAATGTGCCTCTAATGTATGGCGAAAAAGTCCGGAAGAGGAAACCGATCACAGACTGGAAGAGTGGGAGCAAGGAAGCTGGTAAGAATTTTGTGAATGGTTTTGCGGATCCGATATATTGTTTGTTTAAACAGCCGGCCGTGGGTTTAACAAAACATGGTGGCTTGGGGCTAGTAACTGGGTTAGGAAAAGCGGGGATGGGCTTAGTAGTGAAGCCAGGGAGTGGTAAGCGATCCTTCTTATGTGTCAACATTACATTCACTGATAATTTTCTTTCCTCTTTCACTATATTGCTAACACTCGAAACTTCTAGCTATGTTTGGTCTCTTTGCCTATCCTGCCCTTGGTATCTACCAATCCATCGTTGGCGCATCAACTTCAGCAACACAAGCAGCTATTTTAAAAGCCCGAGTAGCACATGACGCCTTTTTTAATGATGTGCATCAGCCAAATGTGGAGGAGGAGGCAGAGGTCCTAAGAAAGTTCAATGAGTTGAAGTAGTTGGGAAGTGAAAGGATACGGGAGACTAAGATCCATCTCAATATGCATTGGTTTGTTGTTGATTACAGCCTAGTTCACATAACACTAACTTCGAGTTTTTCAGGATAGGTGACACTTTAGCTAAATATATACAAAACCACCCTAAGAAATTGATTCCAACTAGTGCCAAACCGTGCAGCCCACGCGCTGGTAAAGTAGCTAATTCGAACACGTCTCACTCACGAAAATAAAAACACACAACGTGCGGGATCAGTAAGCTAGCCGCCCCACCAAACTCGACGCGACACTCTTCACAACCACCATAATGCCGCGACAGCCACGCTCTATATAGACTTCTCGTAAAGGCAGATTAAGTCTTGCTATGGCCTCCTATCTTAATAACCCAAAACAATCTATCTATAGTCTCGCAAAAGCGTATGATGTACTAAAGTTAACTCTCTAGACGCGTCTAGGCTGGTCATTGGGTCTCCACATCGGGATCTCAAAAACGCTATTATCTCCACCAATACTTACCCGATTGGGAAGTTTAGTAGCTTATTTTAAAGCTCTCTATT